GTAAACACTACTAGCTTTCTGAGCCAGGTGTCAAATTCTCTCTTCCTATAAATATGCATTCCCACAGGTAGAAGGGAATGAGCTCACTGCTATGCAAGTGCTTCTTTAGCTAGTTGGGAACAAGAAGGAAGTGACTATTTAGGATGTTATAACTCAACAGCCTTTTTGGTTAACAGCCATGTAAATAAAACAGTGATCTATTTTTCATTTTTGAAATGACAGATCAATACTCACTTTAAGTTACTGATCACTTATTCTAAAGGGAAGGCACTATTTAATCATGGAGATGAAGTAGCCAGCAAGATTGGCTCATGCTTTCTCTCTGGAGTCACTTGCCTGTGTGCGCTTGTGTGTTCCAAGTGGGGAAGTTGAACACCTCCTGAAGCCCAGAGGTGCTCAGGAGACCTGCAGACCATTCTGGGACCTGCGGGTTTGGCACTGGCTGGAAGCCTGTGTGTCCCACTGATCTGGCAACTCTCCTTCACTATTTTGGTCTTAGCTGCCCATAAATCAGGACTGGCAAATATGAGACACACCCCGCCATTTAGCCCAGTGTCTATGATCACCAGTCACCATGACACTCTTTCCTACTGAGCCCAGATGTGACCCAGAATCCTTTTAAATTGAGTGCTCCTGGAAGCAATGACCAAACATCTAGACAAATACATTTGTCTTTGTGGACCCTGTCCAGGTCTTCTCAGTCACAGACCCTTGCAGCACCAAGCACCTTGAAGCTCTTTGTCTCTTTCCCACTCAGCCTGAGGAGGCTTCTCTTCTGAGATCAGTCCTGGGGGCAGCCCTGTTCACAGAAACAATGATCTTTTGGTGTTCTCTTGAGTATTGCTTTTTAAATATCAGTTCTTCTGAAGACAGCCTCCCCCCCCCCCCCCCCCCCGATACTCTGGCTTTGCTAGCAGAAAATATTTATGCCTTTTGGTCCTAATTAGCAAAATTTGCCATTTTGCAGCTCTTTTGTAAAATAACAGGTTCTCCTGGGATGTCGGAGGCTTAGGTTTGTTTATTGAGCTCTGTTCAGGTGGGTGGGGATGGGTTCAGAAGGAGCCCTTAGCCAGATTTGTACATTACTTTGGGCTAAACAGAAGCATGAAGCTTAGGTTATAGAATCTCCTTTGAACAGGGGCAGGAATTGTAATTAGATACAGGAAAGAAAGCAATTCCATAAACTGCTAGTAGTCAAAGAGTCCTTGACTGCTTTCTGTCACCCACCTTCACAGGTAGTGTTACCACCCTTCTTTTGTCATGCCGAGGTCCTGCATTCAAGTCACATTCTATAGAGTAAGCCAGTGTTCTCTTTAGCGCCTCATACCTTTAGGCAGTTGGTCTATGTAAATGGGTCCCCCAATTCCATGAAGACCATTGTTAACCACTCTTCAATTTTCTTCAGAGTGGCTATACCAGGATCTCCCTCCACTCCAGGTTCCCAGTCCTTCTCTGGGTGTGAACCTCCTCAGAGAGAATCCTGGGTTCTCTTCCTCAGTGTTCAGGCTGTGACATCCGGAGCTGAGCGAAAGGCACAAAGGCCAGTCTTGGTAAAATGGGAATGTATGTCAACAAATGCCCAGAGAATGGCTACTTTGCTGTCATGTGTGCTCTGGCTCTGTCTTCACATACCCTCTCGGGTTTCCCAGTGAGAACTTGCTGAGCATTCATCAAACACATAGTTTGCGTCAGGGAGACCCATAGTGTGAATTTTCAAGAAATTCACAACCTAGTGGGCAGAAACTCTGGTACCCCTTCACCACAGAATACTGCAGAAAGCGGAAAGTGCTGGGTTAATAAGAGAGTTGTGGTCCAAGGATAGCCCCAGGCGAAACCTAAGATCCTAACTAACAAATAACTCCAGCAAAAAGAGAGTCACGGAGTGGGAAGTGAACGTGGAAGATGTGCAGATAATTGCACAGGATTGGTGGTGGAAGGCTGGTCACAAAGACCAGGCAGGACTTCTCCAGGAGAGAGGGAGGGAGGGTATACACGTATAACAAGGAACAGCATGTTCAAAAGCAGGGTGGTGCGAGAGCCCGTGACTTGTCTGGTGTCACATGGCTGATTATTCTAAGGGACTCTCAAGAGTAGTTATGAAGACACTTTAAGAAGTGTGAGGTAAGAGTGAGGTTGAGCCTCATTTTTGGCAACGGGGAGTCATTGGCATGTCTTTTGTAAGCATATAACATGGGCAGATAGCTGTAGTGCTGAGGCTGCCCTGGGTGGCCCCTGGCAAAAGGACAAGCAGGGGCTGTAAGGAAGAAGCTACCTTCTGTCCAATTTGTCCACAGGGTCTTGAAGGTGGGTACTGAAAGGACACAATTCCTCCTGTGCAGAGGTAGCTTGATCTGCAGTCCCACCTTGTCCCTTCCACTAAGCATTTTGTGGAGCCTCGTTTGTGATCCCTGGATCCCGGATGGCTTTAGGTATGAACTACGTCCAGAACCTTCACCCAGTCTTTTCCAAAATGCTCTTTCCACAGCACATAGCCAAGGCACACTGCTCAGATCTCCTTTCTGGAAAGAACTTGCTGAATATTTGCAAGGAGTATAGCCAGCTAGCTGAGGGTCTAGCTCTTAGTGCTTTCAAGGCCTGTTTCAGATTGAGTGTGTGTGTGTGTGGCATGGGGTTTGAACTCAGGGCCTTGTGCTTACTAGGTAGGTGCTCTAGCACTTGAGCCACACCCCCACCCCTTTTTGCTTTCGTTATTTTTTAGATCGGCTCTTGTGTTTTTGCCTGGGGCTGGCCTCTAACTATAATCCTCCTATCTATGCCTATTACATAGCTGGGATGACAGGCATGAACCACTATGTCCGGTTTATTGGTTGAGATGGTGCTTTCACTCACTTTTTTCCCAGGGCTGGCCTCGAAATGAAATCCTCTACCTCCCTCCCGTGTAGCTAGGATGACAGGGATGAGACACTGCAGTGGTCCCTTGTCTTGGCTTTTGAACAGAAGAGCACATGGGTTGTCCAGGATCTGACCATTTTGTCTGCTTGGACTCATCTAACAGGAGACCTTTGCTCTGGAGCATCCTGTTGGGTTGGCTGGGACTTGGTGAGCTTTACATCACTATCTGAGGTACTTTTTCTCCATAGGTATGACTTCCACACACTGTATTCTAACCCTCAAGGCATTGGCTTCCCAGGGAATTGGATCAGTGGCCCTGAATATGTGACCAGTACTGGTGTTGGTTCAGGAGGACAACAGGGAGGTAACCTGTGAGCATTGGTTGTGGCTAAACTGGTTTACAGGGTCGTGCTTGTTTACCTGTAGGCGAGGCTCCCCTACAGGGTCCCATTACAGTCCCCCATCAGGCTGTGATAGAGTCATCTTTATGCCATCACCCAGGAGTGAGGAACTTGTCTCTTCAGAGAAAAAGGAGGAGACTGGGATTTGTCCTGGCTCCCTAATAAAACTAGTTTCTATTTGAAGATCTACCTTTTCCACCAGTGCCTGATGCAAGTTATGCCTTCTGCAGAGATGATGAGCAGAAGAATCTGCAAGGCTTTTATGGAAATCCTGTCTTAACCTGACCCAGTGGCGCTGGTGTTCACATGAGAGGTCAATGTGGACAGTAACGGTATGGGCGAAGGAGTCCTTATCACTGGGAGGAGAAAACAGTACAGAAAAGAGAGCACAAGGGGCTGAACTCTGACCAGCCTTGGGACTGCAGTGGAGGTGGAGGTAGGAGAGTATGCCAGACATGAGATGCCTCTTAGTAGACCAGATTTCATCACTGAATGGGGGATGAAGGAGACTCTGCTCACCTCATGGGCCTGGCTTAGTTATCTGGGTGAACAGGGATGCATTTAGTGAGTTGGGGGCCCAGGAAGACTTGGAGGTAACCCAGGGGGAGCAAAGAGGCTTCTGTTCAGCATCTTTGCACTCAGAGATGCTCCTGGGACATGCAAAAGAGGATGGCTCAGGTGGCTTTTGGTTTTCTTTCATTCTACTTGCAGAATCAGAGAGAACCAACATCCTGTCAGAGGCTGCTGCTTGCCCTTTGGTTCTCTGCTGGGCTCTTAAAGCCCCTTGCCTTCAGGGAAGAGAGGGGCCAGCAGCACAGCCTGCTGGGGGCTGGCGGGGCAGGCTTTTAACGCAGCGGGACCCTTCAGATGTTCAGTAACTGACAACCCCAGGCCCAGTGCCTCTGTTCACAGAGACACAGCTTCATAAACTCTCTGGGTTGGAAGGGACATTGGAGGTCATGTGTTCTAGCCTCTGAGCTGGCATTTTCAGACTGTTCCAATAATTCAAGAGTTCTTTTTTCTATTGTGGGGAAGATGATTTCTTCTGACTTCCCCTTAAGACATGGTCCACCTGTGGACCTCCTTCCCACCAAGAAATGTGCTGTGTCTCAGTTTTGTGACTGTACTAGTGAGGGACACGATAAGCTTAGATCTGGGAACACAAGTTCTTTTTGTCCTTCACACTACAGCTACGAGAATGGTCTCCATGGTTACAGTCGCTTCTCAGAAGTGTCTAGATTTTCATTTTTTTCCTTATATTCCTCTAAATGTCTAATTTATGAATAATCTGTTTAGGTAACCTGCTAGAAAGTTCCTACATGTATATGAAAATCAAGAAATATATATTATATATTCAAAACAAAAAAAAGTACGTTGACAGGCATTTTGGGTTCATTTTTTTCCCAGTTTAAAAAGAAATTTGGATTACCTTAAAAAACAATCAAGTTAAACAAGATTCAATGAAAGAAACACTGCCTTCATGCTCTTCAAAGACATGTGAGCCAGAGAAGGGCTGGAGCTAACCTAATTATGACTTCTTTAATGTGGAATAGCTATTTGCCTGACATTTCATTTGCATCTTACCATCAGATTCAAAATGTCTGGGACATTGATTTCTTTTTTTCTCCCTAGGGCTCTCTTTGAACATCAAAGTGTTTTTTTTTTTTTTCTTTTTTTTTTTTTAATTTCTTTCCCCCTTGTGAGAGCATGATAAGAATGGATCGATAATTACATTGTTGGATAAAAATGAATATAAATTTTATTGAAAAACAACACAATGTGGGGAAAGCATATTCAACAGCCACTGGCCCACACAACTCAGTGCACACATTACGAGAAATTATCACCTCTTCAGGTTTCCAGCTACTTATTCCAAATGAAAAGAAATTACAGACCTCAGATAAACTGATGTGGGCCACAGATGCACACCACCTTTGAAATCTTTGCCAAAACCAAGCCATGTGGTGGTAATACTGTTAACCCTGTGCTTGCTGCAGGTGAACCGGTAGGATTTCAGGAATTAATTAGAAACCACCAAGCCACCTGGGAAAACTCCTTTTCCCCTTTTCAAGTCCTTTGGGAAGAGAACTTCACAAACTTTCTTGACAATGTGTCCCTTCTGCTTAACAATAGGGAATAGTTCTTTACGTCTAGCCTAAATCCTTCATGCTTCAGTTAACCTGTGCGTTTCTCTTTCATCTCAGCAGGCCATGAGAAGTTTGTCCTGGTGGGACAATGTAACATGGGGAACTCAGGACGATGACAATCAGACTGAAAACAGAGTCCAGCTGTGCTGCTGGAGCTTCTGAAGTAAGCCGAAAAGAAGTTAATTGCAGCCCTGTGCCCTAGACCTCACCCTCCTGCACCCTGGCACCCGTCCTGGGGCTCGATGGTCAACGTTGAGTTTGATCAGTTTCAGTCCGTCATGACATGGCAATGAGTGTGCGCAAAGCTGGCCCATCCAGACCTTTGTCCAGGGTTTCTGTGTCAGAAGGGATTTCCAGGCAAAACCCTCATCATTCTTATCACATTCCATGTTTTCTCACCACGCCAAGGAAGTCCCTTAGGCTCCCCTCACAGCTTGTGCACGAACAAGACTGTGCTGGGTGTACACACGCGGAAACGCTGGAGAAAGCACGAGAAAGCACCCAGTGATTTTAACATAAACATCTGAACAGCAATTTTTCAAGTTTGCGTAAAATAGCTTTGGGGAGGAGGGGAGGGATGAATTCAACCTCGCAGAGGTTTGCGGCGTCGGCAGCTCCGCACCTCGGCCACCAGGCGGAGCCCTTGCCATTCCATCGGCGACTGGTACCCGTGGACCAGGAGACAAAGATGCGGATTTGAATAAAAGCCTTCAAAAATGCGACCCCAAATTTCTAGCCTGAGCAGCATGCGTGTAAAAATTCATGAAGATTGGATTTTGTTTCATGTATTTTTACTTCAGTGGAAAGAAATGCAGGTGATTTTCTGACTGCGCCTACAGCTGTCTTTACAAAGGGGCTGCTGGTTAAACGAGGAGGGAGGGGCAGGCGGATGTTTTGACAGGCCAGGCCTCCCTCTCTGGTGTTGGGGACAGATCCTGTTTTGCTGGGTGGCATCCTGGACATGCTCCAGAATGTATTGATTAATTATAGGATACAGTCATTTTCTGCAGGGCCAGCTTGATGGCCAGTGTGGATCCAAAGAAGGCACTTACTATTTTGATGAAACAGCTCATTTTTTTCAGCCCATGAAATCAAAGGTGTCAAAAAGGCCTTTTCTTTTTTTTTTCGGGGTGTAAACATGCCCCTTGATCCCCTCGTGGTGGTGCCCAGCAGTTATGGCTTCTGGGCCTTTGTGCATTTTTCTTGCATGAATGACACAGTGCTGGGTGGCCAAGCCTGTCAGAGGGTACTGGACACAGGCCAGGGCAGCTCAGCCCCTCAGGGCATATGTCCCTCCAGTTTGAGGCCCCCAGTCTGGTGAAGGCTGGGTGCCCCATAACCCAGCCCTGGGCCAGGTCCATGTTGGGTGGCAGTGGGAATCTACGGGGGAGGGGCCCCAAGGGATGATGGACTGAACTTCTGGGAGGCTGAAACTTGAGACAGGTCAGGGCAGGAAAAGTTTCTGGCTCCTGGCCACCCACCTGAGCTCTCCGTGGCAGTGGCTGGGATCCTTTGGTTCATCTCTGTAGCCCCAGCATTTAACTCAGGGCCTGGAGCTTTCTAAGTGACCCATGGGCATTTGTTGAGGATACAGATGTGAGGATGAAGGCAGAGAAGGAGGCTATGACCATCCTGGGCTACAGCTGAGCCTGGTGGGCACATGGAGAATCCATCAGGGAGAGGCAAGGCACTGCCAGCTCTCAGGGATGGGTACCCTGAGATAGGCAGGGGGAGCAGAGTAGAAGGACCCAGGAGTTTGGCAGGCACCACCCGGAGTGTGTCTATGTGCCAGAATGGTGTGGCAGTGGCCTGTCTGTCTCAGTCCTCTCCTCCCAGCAGCTTGTCTTTCCACTATTGCTATGGCAACGCCAGCCTCAGGTGCTGCCTGGGGTGAGTTGGGCAGCTGAGGCTTCTTGGGACAGGCCTGAGCAAGCAAGGGGCCCCAAACTGTCCTCACAGAAGGGGACATAGACATAGATTCGGGAGAGGTGGTGTTTCTCATCTCAGAGAAAGACAGGAAGGGAGATGGGACAGACTTTTCTGAGGGACCAGCACAAAAATTGCTCCCAGCAGGTGATGGTCCCCCCAGCCTGGCTTCATTGGTAGGGACCCTGGGAGTAGGCAAAGCCCCATTAACAGGGGTATCTCCAGCACTGCTGCTGTCTCACTGTTCACTCACCTCATCTCTCTACCCAGGGCCAGGTTATCTGTTCAGGGTTACCAATCAGGATCCTTGACAGGCCTGGAGGTGTTTGGAGAACCCAGTGCAGGTGAGGCCAGGCCCTGGGCTCAGCTCCTAGGAAGGCCAGGAGGGTATCCTCAGGCTACAGGCTGAACACAGGAAGGAGTACTGCATCAGGGACCTTTCAGCCTTAGACTCAGGTTGCAGGACATCCTTCAGTGCCATTGATCCCCAGGCCCCCGCCCAGGACACCCATGGGTGCACACTGGCTGCTTTGTGCTCTTGTTATCACATCCTGGCTACCCAAAGGGATGGGAGATGCTGAGCCTCCAGCCAGAAATGGGACAGCTAGCTTCTTCTCAACACCTTGTTTTTTTCCAGGGTTTTTGAAGAGTAGAAAGTGGCTAATGAAGAGGCAGCAGGAATGTGGAAGATGGTCAGATCCAACATCCCTGGGATCCAGGAATTGTGGGAAACACTGTGCACTACTTGGAAGGGGCTCTCAGGTTCAAAGGTGACTCAGCTCCTCTGTGGCAGGGACAGTTCTCTAAGCATCATGTCTAAGCTTTCAGCCTGGATGATATCCCTCCTTTTCCACACCAACCATACAACAACAACAACAGCACTGATACTAATTCCTAATGGGGCATCTGGGCACTGGCGTACAGTTCACAATACCTTGGATTTACATAGCACCTTTTTCTTCTAAAGGGCCTTTGTCTCTGTCCCTTCAGCCATGGCCACACTGAGTGAAGCCTTTAGAATACAAACATTTAGAGCCTGCAGTAGCAGGGAGACTGAGGCAGAGGCCTAGAAGTGATTTCATGCAGATCAATGGTGTCCAGGGCTTTCTGCACTTCCCTTGGGCCTCAGGGAGAGTGTGAGGATGGGATGCAGGCCTTCATTCAGCATTGACTTGGTACTTCAGGATGTAGGAGTAGAAGTTGTGGTTAGCATTCTCCAGCACCATGACATAGACTTCTTGGCAGCCAGCAGTGCTGCAACTGCCCTCCCAGTAGCCCTCGTGGTTCAAGGTCAAGGGCCATGTGTCCTGCCCCTTCACCAGGGCTTTGGCGATACCATGCAGCTTCAGTTTGAATGGAACATTCCGATTGGCAGGAAGCACGCCCGACAGAGGCTCCAGCAGCTCATTGTTCTGCCCCCAGTTGCCAAAGCTCTCGGGGAACATGGGCCAGTTCACCTTGGTGTTGGTGCAGCACAGGAGGTAGTTGAAGACAAAGATGTAATTGCCTTGTTCCTGTCTCTTCTTCACAAAGATCTTCAGGGCAAACTTGCCGGCCTGCGGCAGCTGGACTTTCAACTCTGTCCGCTTCTCTCGATGCAGCTGGAAGATGTAGCGTCGTTGTGTCTCCTCGGTGATGGGGCCATCGTCTCCATGTAGAGACGCTAGGACGCTGATGCCCTCCTCCACACCAAAGCTGATGGAACAGCGTCCATCAGTGGTGTGGATGATTGGGTCAGGGTGGGAGGGCTTCATGATGCCCATCTGCTCTGAGAACCAGCTGGGGCCCACCGGCTGGTGAAGCTCAGCTGGCAGTCGGACACCCAGGTCCACGTAGTTGCACTTGAGTGTGTACTCCAGCACTGAGCTGTAGATGTCAGAGTTACCTTTGGCGAAGATCTGCAGCTTGTGGGTGCCCATGGTTGGGGGATACACCTCCAGTTTCATCCCATTCTTCCTGAGGCTCAGCAGCCCATGTTCCTGCTTGCCATTGAGCATAAACATGAACAGTGTTGGAGCACAGCTCTCAATGGAGACTGTGGCCTTCCCATTCACTGTGAAGAGAAAGGCAGGTTCAGGTGAGTGTGGGCTGGTATGTTTGTGAATATTTAATAACTGATTTACTGTGGGGGAGGACAAACGCTGACTTAGAGGGTTTGCCAAGACTCTGGTGTAAATATTTTTACCAAGATTGATATAACCAACGTGATGTCACTGAACATGGTATAAGCCAGCTGCAGCAACAGCACTGGGAGTGTTCCTCTAGCCCCCACTTAGGTGTATTTCTTTGATAACTGGGGGGTAGGTGGGTCTCAAGAAAAATCTGCTCCAGCCGTATGTGCTCCTCTCTCTCCCATTTGATTTACATTAGATGAAGGCTGCCTGAGGGTTGGCCCAACTATAGAGCTGGGGAAGAGGTAGGAAGGAGTAGGAAGGGTGTCACATTCACTAAGTCTCAGGTCATGCTTTCACATTGATCCTTCCATCACCTATGGTGTCAACAGCTGTCAGGTCAACACGCTGTCTAAAACCTAGATGCAAGGGCTTTGCTCCTGGAGACTGTGCCCAGGAGTAGGAGTGGCATGGAGGGGATTCCCTACTTCTCACCTCCCCCACCTCTGCTTCTCAAAGGTGTGTTTTAGCTGTGTTTATGGAATGGGACCTTGAAGAGTCAGTATGTGCACCTAAGGGTCTTTTGCATTCCCTCTCCCTCAGCTTCTTCTTTGCCCTGAAGTTTTGTCTTTTGCTGTTCTGGGCATTGTTTTTCAAGGATAGACAATTAGTTCCATTCTAGATTTTGCAGCCCATGAGAACTTGCCTACCTGATCCTCCCTGGCATCTCAGAAGATGCAACAGGAAGGGGCAGTGGCCTTTTTGAGAACCTGGCTTGGTCTTTTGTCAGAATCTGGTCACTTGCCCTTGGCCCTAATAACTTCCTCAGCCTTGTTCATGGATGGAGAAGGCTGTCTGGTCTGTGCTCACTATTAACACTTCCCCCAAATCTGGCAATGCCCCACTCTAAAGACCTGGCTGCAGAGAGGACTCTGCTGACCTGTCAAGTGAGCTTGAGTTCCTTGGAAGTCTTTCTCCTGGTTCTGGCTCTCTTGAGAGAACTTGTCACTGTTGTAATGAATTATGTGAGCATTTTTTTGGTGTAATGTCTGTCCTTGGTTGAGCTGTGGGCTCTTTGGGAAGAACCTGGTATTATATATTTCCTGCCATGTTCCAGAGCTTGGTCATAGTGTCTGGCCCAGAGAGTTCTTGGCAGAGGTGTGGTGAATGGAAAGACTGGGAGAAAATGAAGGGCTGGTGACCCTAGGGACTTCTGGAGGAGCCAGGGCATCTTCTTTCCCCCTCCCCTCCCGAGATCCTCCTCTTTGCATTCAGTGGATGTCCATCCTTCCAACTGGGGCTTCTCCTTCCTCCATCCCTTTTTGTCCCCCTCAGTTTCCCTGTTTTGCTTCTTTCCCATCTCAACTCTGGCAAATCTCAATCTCTGAGAAATATTTTTTCAATATGTAAATCAAGTTTTAGGTTACTATACATCTGGGAAGGATGTTTAAGATTTTAAGTATATGGGCATAAAGCATAGGTAGCAAATTTTATCAGATGCAACTATAAGTGTTGTTACAAGAGGCCTGAAGAAACTGGATTGGGCCTATATTCATTCATTTTCTTGCAAGTCTTTATGTAGACATTAGTTTTCAGCTCATTTAAGTAAATATCAGGCCACATGATTGGTGAATCATGAGGTAAGACTGTGTTTAGTTTTGTAAGAAACCATCCCATTGTCTTTCACAGACGATGTATCATTTTGCATTTTACCATCAATCAAAGAGAGTTCCTGTTGCTCCACATCCTCTAAGCATCTGGTGTCAGTGTTCTGGATTTTAGCATTCTAATAGGTGAGTAGTGGTATCTCATTTTAGTTTGTAATTTTTAATGTGTTTACATTTTTATGTCTCTTGAAAAGGCAAACTCAACTCAACAACATTAGTGTGATGTCACTGTGGCCTGGTCGAATCTTTCCTGTGGTTCAATGACCCACAACAGCCTGAAGAGGCCTCCATCAGATGTGAGCTCAGCAAACGAATTTTCAAAATGAGCAGTTGCATGCTGTTATTTTAGCAGTGGGAGCTGTCAGGTGTTAACTTTACAGAGTGTGTGGGAACTCAGCATCCTGGTCAAGAGAACCATTGTGAGATGGAAGGGGCAAGTCAGATGGAGCTGGATGTGCTCTCCCATGACCCTGAAGTGTGGGGTGGGACTTGAGGGCCACCCTGACTGATTGCCAATGTAAGCCTCCTGTCCTAGACTCCTGGAGGTCCTTGGTGGGACAGCTGGTGCTGACAGGCAGTACTGTGCGGAATCCTGAAGCATGCAGGAGAGGCAGTCCTTTAGAGAAAGCCCTTTGAGGCCCTTGACCATGGTTCTGGAGAATGTGCAAACACTCCATGCAATGACTCCCATGGGAATGTAGGGAGCAAGTGTCAGCCCAGGCCAGCCATGGGAGACAGCTAAGCTTGGTGCTCCATACTGCCTGCCTTAGTGAAGCTGGCTGGAAAAAAGGCTGGATCCTGTCTCCAGAGGTGGGGGAGGAGGCTGAGTAGGCCAGGCTGAGCCCTGTGGAGCCCAGTCTTTCTCTAGGGGTGCTGGAGTGTGGAGGTTTAGGAGGCTTACTGTACCCCTCCTCTCCTCTGCTCCCACTGCCTACAACATGTCCACTGACCTGTTCTCCATCTGCCATGACCCAGCTCACTGGCCAACTCCCTAGCCCAACCCTCTGTCCTGGTGGGAACTACTCCCATCTGTAGTGGGAGGTCCCCAAGGTATCCCAACCTCACTGGGGTGACCACATCCACACACAGAATACCAACCCTATGGGGCCGACATGTTCTCCTGACCAGGAGTCTGGGAGGAGAACACAGTAGGCCAGTTGGCTTCTGTTGGAAACAGAACTGGGAGGTTGTGGGTGGTCTGAGACAGGCTCATTCATTGAACTGAGACTCACCCAGCTCAGGACCCTGGCTCTGGTGAAAGGCCAGGCTGTGTACCAGGAACCCTCTGCCCTCTCACACATTCCCTTCTTGGCTTACGCTAGTTTAAATGGGTTTCCATCCCTACCAATGTGACTGATGGCCATGTTCTGCTCTGATAGCCTTGGCTATCTGCCAACCCTGTACCCCCACATATACATGAGGCCTCAGGAAGCCTCCCTGAGGCACTAAGCAGACTGTTCTGTCCCTGTTGCTGACACACTGGCCTTGCCACCTGCTCAGGGTTACCTGTTCGGATCATGGAAGTATCTGGGTGGGCACTCAGCATCCCCTTGTTGTAGAATTCACTCTTGTGATACATGTTGTTCTCAAATTGCCTCAGAGACTGGGGAGGTTTCAGCAGTTGCCAGTTCTTGTTGTCTGGGAAATGGTCCTCAATGAACAGTGCAGGATGTGTGAGGAAGTAGAATTCGTTGTAGCTGGAGTGGAGGAAGAGCTGGTCAGGAGTCAAGTGGGCAAGCAGGCCCAACCACCCTCCAACTCTGCAGGGGTTTGGGGATCAGGGAGAGGCCTCTGGGGGCCTTCTTTTGGTTGATACAGCTATGATGGTCCTACTGACAGCCCACATAGGAAGAGGTGCCACCTCCACACCTAATGTGACACTGGAGACTCCTCAGTGGCTGGTTCTAGATCCTGGAGCTAAGCAGAGTGCAATGCCACTTCTAAGAGAAGGCTACAGCTCGAAACTGTGGCCTTCTCTGTCTTAGGATGTTCACAGTGGAAAGGAGTCCTTCTTCTATCAGTATCAAAAAGGAATTTGAAGAGGGCCAAGGCAAAACATGTGGATCAGGTGTGGCTACTGGAGGTATCAGGATGCAGAGCAGTGAGTACACGACCTCCATTGGCCCTGTTTTGTCTCTGTGCCTGTGCAGCTGTGTGGCAGGGGCCTTCTGTGGCTTCCTGGGACTTATCAGAGGGATGGTGCTCTGGAGTAATGGGGACAAAGAGAAGAGTAGGGAGGCTCAGTTTAAGATGGGGAGTCTTCATTCTGCCTAAGGGGAACAGTGTTCAGAGTAATGGAGTAGAGGAGGTAGGTGGAGAAGGTGCACGTGAGCTCTGTGTGTAGGATGTGCCAGCATGTGGCTTGTATTTGTCCTTAGTGCAGGAGTGTCACTATCTAAGTAGCACAAATCAGAGTGAACTCATCTGAGCTGATGATGAACGTCATGGTTCACAAGAATGTTGTGTGTGGTCTTGGGTTAAAGCCAAGGTTGACCAGAGCACAGCAGGATAGAAATGGTCTGCAGAACAGCCACCGTGCCCCACTATGGCCCATGGAGAGTCTGCACCTCCCATAGTTTTTCTTCCCACAAACCACAGCCCTTCCTTTCACCCAGAAAGAAGGAGTCTGAGTCTGAGGAAATAGTAGGAGAAAATCCTGGCATCTGTGCATAATGACAAAGGCCAAAGTCCAAAGTAGCCTGCTGGCAATGACAGAGGCAACTCAGCTCCACCTTTCCTCACATGTGGCCTGTGGTAAATGTTGAGGGCTAGTGGGTTTAAGAGGAGGACTGGATGTGGTGGCTCATGCCTGTAATCCTAGCTACTGGGGAGGGAGGTGGAGATGGGGAGGATCATGGATTGAGGCTGGCCCAGGCAAAAAGTTCACAAGACCCCATTTCAACCAACAAAAAGCTGAGTGTTGGTGGCACACAAGCCTATTATTCTAGCTATGTGGGAAATGTAAATAGCATGATCACAGTACAGGCCAGCTGGCATAATGCATGACCCTACTTGGGAAATACCTGAAGCAAAAAGGGCTGGGGACATGGCTCAAGTGGTAGAGCACCTGACTAGCTAGTGCAAGGCCCTGAGTTCAAACCCTAGTACTGTGGGGAGAAAAGGAGGGACAGAGCCAGAGGAGGGACCTGGTTAGTGGAGTGTGAGGTCATGTAAAGGATGAGGCCTTCACAAATAGCCTAGAGCCAGCTGCTGTCACAGCAGCAGGCAGCACTGGAGGGCACTTGGCTCTCTCTTCCCTCTCCTTAGCCTTCTCTACCTATGGCTTCCTTCCATCTTATGCCTCCTCTACACCCAGTGACCAGACACCAAGTACAACCAAGGCTCATACTTACAGGAAGGTGAATTTGGATGTGGCCGTGTCCACCAGGCCACTGCCCCAGGTGCTGTCCAGCAGGTGCCATCTCCCCTCCAGGAACACAGCATTCCAGGCATGGTCAAACTCTCCAGTGAAACTCTGCCCAGTCTGGTAGCCAAAGCCCTTAGAGTACCCAGGCACCGTCATGCACTGTACACCAGCGATCCTGGAGGGTGGGATAGGGGTCTGAGAGGGGACTCAGCTGGGACTGGCCCCCATAAGTCTGTTGGTGGTCCCAGGCTGCAGGCCTCTTTGCAGTACATCATTCCTTCCTGTCGCTCCTTTTTCCTGCTGCTCATACACTCACATGTAGGCAGCCTGAGGACTTTTATATCTGGGTGTGGGGACAGGAGGACATTGTATTGGCTGCAGTCCCTGCTATCTGCTTCTCCCCTGAGATTGTTCAAATCACTTCTGAAATGTCTCCCCAGAGCCTGCTTCATGTGATCCATGAGCAGCTCTTCAAGAGGAGAAAAACGAGGGCAAGAGTGAGGATGGCTTCAAGAACACAAGAAACAGGGAAATGATGATGTTTTTAGGACAGAGTGTACACATAAGGGGCATGCACAGAGGCCAGGGGAGCCAGACCTGAAAGACCTGAAGGGCAGGCAAACTGGTGTGTCCAGTGCTGATAGCAGGAGGACCAGCTGGCTGCCAGGACCTCTGAGGTCTGACTGACAGGTCTGTCCTCTGTGCACATGGGACAAAACCCACCACAGTGCATTAAGGTCCTTCGCTGACTGGCTGGCCTGGCCACGATTTTGAAATCTCCTGTTGCTTTTTTGTAAGGAGTAGAAATGCTGACTAGTCAGTTTTGGGGTCTTCTTGTTGGTATGCTCTCCCCACCCCCCACTGCTCACAACCCCCACATTCACCTGGACAGTGAGAGATGGGTGCTGGTCACTCTGAAGATCAATAAATCCAGGTATTTGGAGGTGTACCTCTGAGGTGCAAGCCTGGGCTGTGGGCACCACTCCAAGGCTGAAGCAAGACCCTTGAATGTTCAGTTGGTCTTCCTCTTTGGCAGCCCACCCCCCATATGGTTGCTGAGTGGTGGACTGTGTGGCTAACACCAAAACCAGTCTGCTGGCCTTTCTGGGGCCTCTGAATTAGGAAAAGGCACCTTTCCCCTAACACTTTCCTTGCACTTGTGGAAAACTGGTATAGTTAAGTACACAAGCTTACAACATCCTGGCCATTTAGGGGGGACCCTCTTATGACACTCCTTTGCACCCCGTAAGCTGCCTAGCCCTCCATGTGGTGCTGACCCTTAGAGGTGAGTCTGCAGTTCAGACGTCAGCAAAGCCTGTTCAGTATGGCACCCTCTGGGGACCAGATCTTACCATGGACCAGATCTGCTGCCTCAGTTGGTCGGTCTAAACAGGACCAAGGGGCCTCTCAGGGTAATGGGGTAAAATGGTCATGCATTTACTATAGGACAGGGTGAAGGGGGGGGGGCGTTTCCCCTATGAAAACAAACACTTAGCTAAAAGCAGAATTTTGGATTAAATATTACTGAACTATCTATATCATTTGTTAAGAGTTGTTGAGGCAAAATATGGTGCCCTGGTTGTTAACAGGGTCTAATTTCCCCTTTAACTGGGTTACTACATGTGCATATGGCGATGGTATGTTACCATCTGGCCTGGTTTTCCTCCACCTTCAGAGAGACTAGGACACTCATGCTGAGACTCCTTAGGGGTGCCCGAAGCTTCACAAAAAGGGACCAGGCCTCCGTGGCTCTCCAGGGAAACCCGTGAGAACATACCAGCTGGGCCTCATGGGAAGGATTTTGGGAGCACTTGTGGGCACCCCTCTGGCAGACAATAAATGTAAGCAGGATGGTAGGATGTTCTGTTGCTAAAGGCTCCAAATGATTCCCAGAGGCAGGAGGTCGCAAGAGACAATAGGTGGAGGAGCCCAGGGGAGGGCAGAGAGTTCAGGGTGCACAACTGGAGTGCCCCATGGCCTCGCTGCTCTGTAAGACAAAGTGGAGGGTGCTGGGCCCAAGGACAGTGCTCTCAGGATGGAGAGTCCTGAGTGTCTTTATAGTCTTAGAGAAAAAGACAGCAGAGAGAGGAACGTTGAAAGCACAGCCTGATGGGTGGGATGGAGGCATGGGTGGGCGTGGATCTTCATCTGATTCATCCAATCAGATTGGGTGAGAAGAAAAAAATGTGGAAAATGTTTAAGGAGTACCTCTGATACAGTGATAAAACTCTGCAATCAGTACAATATCTGTGTGCATATAATATGCAAATGCATGGGGAATGAGGGGCGGGGAAAAGAGACAGGGCAAAAGTCACCATATCTTTTGGTAATGGGATATTATGGGTGATTTTAATTGACTTGTTTAAATTTTTCTACATTTTCTAAACTTTTAACAAGGATTATGTGTTACTTTTAGAACTGGAAAAATCCATAAATAGCACTTAAAGTTCATTTCAGTAAACTATTTTCCATTGTTGAACAGCACATCTGTGTGCATAAATTTCTAGAATGACATGAGGGATGAGGGGATCCCTGGGAATCATGGTGCTCAATGAATGGCTGGTTTTGCCAATCAAAGTGAGCTGATTAGTGGAGCGGCTGGTCCCCTGGACATATTGCTTGCGGGTATTTGTCCTTCGCTCAGAACATCTGGGGTCAATGAAGGAAGGAGGCACAGTGAGCATCCACACAGTCTCCAGGTGTTGGCATAAGTGGAGCCAGCATTGATGTGGGTGGCAGGGAGGTCCTCCTGGGAGAAACCTGTCCTAAGCAGTGTGCCTGGGGGATGTTCTCCCACCAAGAGAGTGAAGTAGAAGGAAAACCTGAAGAACCAAGTGGGAAGCAGCCCTGAGAGCCACCCTCCCAATCTGAGAAAGGGCTGGAGGATGAAGAAGTGAGTGATAGGGACATTGACCTGTATTGCTTTAAGCTGGAGTGGGAAGCCACTGGGCCTAGATGGGAAATCAGGGCTCTAGTCCCAGCTCCAACAGTCACCTCCAGTATGACCTTGCCAGCTCATCGTGGGCAAAAAGGATGGCTGGCATTAAATGATCCTCAGGGGATATACCCAAAAGACTGTGACACAGGTTACCCCAGAGGCACCTGCACACCCATGTTTATTGCAGCACTATTCACAATAGCCAAGTTATGGAAACAGCCAAGATGCCCCACTACTGATGAATGGATCAAGAAAATGTGGTATCTATACACAATGGAATTTTATGCAGCCATGAAGAAGAATGAAATGTTATCATTTGTTGGTAAATGGATGGAATTGGAGAACATCATTCTGAGTGAGGTTAGCCTGGCCCAAAAGACCAAAAATCGTATGTTCTCCCTCATATGTGGACATTAGATCAAGGGCAAACACAACAAGGGGATTGGACTTTGAGCACATGATAAAAGCTTTAGCACACAAGGGAGGGGTGAGGATAGGTAAGACACCTAAAAAACTAGCTAGCATTTGTTGCCCTCAACGCAGAGAAACTAAAGCAGATACCTTAAAAGCAACTCAGGCCAATAGGAGAAGGGGACCAGGAACTAGAGAAAAGGTTAGATCAAAAAGAATTAACCTAGAAGGTAACACACACCCACAGGAAATCAATGTGAGTCAACTCCCTGTATAGCTATCCTTATCTCAACTAGCAAAATCCCTTGGTCCTTCCTATTATTGCTTATACTCTCTCTTCAACAAAATTAGAGATAAGGGCAAAATAGTTTCTGCTGGGTAGCGAGGGAGTGGGGGGGGGAGAAAGAGGGGACGGGGTGGGTGGTAAGGGAGGGGGTGGGGGCAGGAGGGAGAAATGACCCAAGCATTGTATGCACATATGAATAATAAAAAAAAAATGATCCCCAGGGGGTGATTCTCCTCCAACAGCTGAGGAGCTTGGGAGGGCTGTGGGGAATGCCTGCAGCAGAAAAAAGATGAGAAACAGACTCCACTGTAAGTGTATGCATTGCTTGACTATGACATGAGGATATTTTATTATCTGTCAGCCAAGGGCAAGATGAATTGGACAGAGGAAGTCATAATGTAAAGCAGTATTGTTAATAATCCATAGTTTTCATGCAAAGTAAAAGTAATCCATATGTATAAAACAATGACTGTAGAACTAGCAGGGGTTTTGCATCCACCCTCTGGTTACTGGTTGAGATGACCCATGACCCTTCCATGTCATCAAAAGGCCACTAACTGTATATACTGTGTACCAAGTTCTGGAGCAGGGGGATGGTGCTTCATGGCACGACAAGATACAACACAACAAACAGCATAATAAAATATGTTGTTCCAAAAATAAGGCTGAGTAGCTGCCCTAGATGCATTCATTGTTGGAAGGGGGGAAGGTCTGCAAACTGCCACTAAAATGCTTATGTTCAAAGCAAATCCTTGGGAGCTCAGTAGAGTGGGGGGAGGGGGGATTCACATTTTGGCCAGAGATTGGAGAATATTGAAGAAGGGACCAAGGATAAGAAACATTTCTACCTACTGAAGAACTTGACCAACCATCTGATAGCCAAAATATCACCCAAGGACATCTACTTAATAACCTCGGGCTGCAGAATCTTGATTTTACTTTTGACAGTCTTGACAGCTCCAATGTCAGCTCCTCAGCAGGGGCTGATGTGTATCTCAAGCCACAAAGCAAATGTACATACAGGATGCCCTGAGGAAACTTCCTTGGGGCACCCAGAGGATGTGGAGAAAGCTGCCCAGGACTCAGGGACCCAACCAGAACAGTTGCAAGGGCTGTCAAGAACTACAAAGCCATCCACTGTGTCCTGATGGAAAAGGACTGTACAGAGGTGCAAGCAAGCAAAAGGTACCTGGTTACCCTGGATGACCACCAAAGCTGCTGTGGCTTCCATGAGTGCATTACACTTATTACTTAAAAAAGATCTGGGAGGGCAGCTTAGTGTGGTGTGTCCTCAGATATTAATTGAGGTTAAGACTGTGACTATTATTTTATAGCAAGATGGTCTAGACCCCACTGTGTGATATGGCTATATCCGGATGTACTGCTGGGTCCCATTGCAGGGTAGGCTGGGTAGGCAGAGGCACCCCGCACACATTGGGCTCTGACAGACTCTTCCCACTCTGATTATCTCTTCCAGAAAGTCTGAGACAAGTGGGTAAAGAAGGGAGGGAGTGTGGGAGGAACAACAGCTGTAGAAGCAATGAAACAGATGTTCCTTTTGGTATTTTACTGGAAGCTGTGCGATTTCTGTACTACAGTGGGAAAAGCAAAGCATGACTTAGCTTTCACAATTTACATACATTGTTTCTTGTAAATCTGACAGTGTCTCTTTGTTTCTGCTAGGTGTTACCATTCCCCTTTCTTATTCTACACTATGGCTAGGTCAGTAACTTGAAATCACAGTAATACTTCTCACTCCAAGGCCTGTGTAGAGCCTCAGGAGGTTATGATGTCCTCTCCAACCAGGTTGGTGGCTCAGAGAGGGAAGCTACCCCGTCTGGGGACACACTACTAGCTAGTGGCTGAAGTGAAATTAGGATATACTTGTCCGGAGGCACAGTTCAGAAGCAACTAACTTGTACTGGGACTTTGATAAATCAAGATTTTGCTTTAATCTGTAAGGTTACGGGTGGCACACAGGGTGGAATTAAAAGATGATTTGCTATATTGACATAATTCATTTTTGTATCCTCCTCTGGTGCATTTATAAGGATACAATGAGTTTAGATGTCCCTTTCAGAGACCTTATATAACAAAAGTCAATAATTTAAAGTTATCCATCTCCTGGGGGAATCTCCATCTCGTAGGAGGCTTAGACAGCCACTCCCTATCTTTGGGGCCATTTGGAACCAAGAGATGCTGTAAAACCTTGGAGGTGTCATGCTGACCTGAAGCAGCCATCTGAGTGAGCATGCCTCTGTTATCTCTTTCTGTGACAGCTGGAGATCGACATGTGCTTGATTGACAAGCACTCTGTCAGAGCCTCAGACTGGTAATCAGCTCTTGGTTACCCAAAAGCTCTGGAAAATCTGCTAGCTGGAGATGCTAGCACCATGGTAATAGGGGAAGAGAATTTACTGAAGGCTGACTCAGTGGCAGGGGCCTGGGAATTAACTTTGGCCCCTGCAAAAAGATTAGATAGAATCAATTTTGGTTGATGATGGAAAGTCAGAAAGAAACTAGACCAGCAATTACAAGTAAGAACACTAACAAAAAAACCCCAAATTGGTAACTTGGGAAAGACAATGAGGAAATGAATGATGCTATGAAAATATCTGCACTCATCTCCGAATTACTTTATTAAATCAGTCTTTAATGAGGCCATTGCAAGGAACCAGGATGCACTGCAGGAAGTAATGATGGCTGCGTGGGTACAACTCTTGCTAAGAGGCCACCCTGACAACCAAGCAGGGATAAATCAGCAAGTGAAGATTGCATGTCTTCAGTGATTAAGGAATTAGCTAATGAATTCACCAAACTTTTGGCAGTTATTTTAGCGGTAAAGGGAATTAGGGCACTGATGCATGGATGGGTTACTGGTCTTTAAAGCAAGAGTTAAAGGCAGTGTGAAGAATTTTGTGCGTGGTAACCATCAGGTTGAAACTAGTTTCAACTGATGCAAAATGTTGGGATGTATTTTAATGATCAGCTGCAGGCCAGAATACAGCCATTGTAAAGCATTTGGACTAGGCCACAAAGCTGACAGTTTCAGTCAAGACAAGTGTCAATTTCCTGAGTCTATGTGGGCCAGCACAGTCTGTAGGAAATTTCCATAGAGCAAAAACACTCTCATACTTAGGGAAGACAGGAAAGGTTAAAATATAGGAACTCCAAAGTCAGGTGGAAAATCCCAAACTGCATGTTGTCACTACTGTCCTTTCAGTAGGCAATATGGCCCCCAGTATGAAAACGAAGAAACTTGGGCTCTAAAAGGTTAAGCACCTTACCAAAAGGAACAAAACCAGTAAGTGATCATTTAGGAATTGGAACACAGGTCTTTCTGGCTTTACATCTGGCATTCCTACTGCATGCCAGAAAGCTTGTACTGGATAAAGACACATTTATTTTACAGCTTAAAAAACCTAGAGTATTTTCAAATTTGCAGATTCAGATGCAAACAAAAATATCCTGAAAGATGTTAGGCAAACATGGACCTGAACAGAGGCTTGTGGATATTTCATTATTTAAAAGAGAACATACAAGTCCACTAGGAATATCCTGTTATTCTATAAATATCTATTGAGGGCCTACTGTGTGTAGGATTCTGAGATGGGAATTATAGAAGCAGAAAGAGTGGGCTAAAGACATAGAGACCAGTAAGACCCATAGGACGTAAAGAGCACAGGTAATGCCTATCTACATAGAATGAAGTTTGGAAAATAAAAGACAGAATGTTATCAGTGTTACCTCTAAGTGATGGCTTGAAGAACTACTTAATTTTCTTCCTTTTGTGCATTTTATAAATCACATATAATGAACAAGTATTTTTAATTTAAAAAGGTTATTAAATGAAAGCATAAGGCATTATCTGAGCTGGTGTATAAGTTGTGTGGAGGTCCTCATAGTAGAAAAAGGTAGGGTGACATGGAGCCAGGCCTGGAAGGAGTGTTGGGAGAGGGGAGTGTATGAGGTATATGAGGAGAGGGAAGCTGGCAGGGCTGGGAAGGTGTCTGAGGTCAGATTTTTGAGGACTTCGTAGGACAGTGTGAGCCTTCAGTTGGATTCAGGAACCCAGGGCCAGGGAGTTGGGGCATGGAAGCCCAAAGGCAGGTAGGAGACTTATATCTGGGTCTGGGGGTGGCAGTGGGTATGTGGTAGAGTGGAGGGGACAGCTCTGAAGGGATAGCTAGGGTGGCCCGTGTGACAGCCTATGCATTGTAACTGTCCTGACTGTCTCTGAGGCTGGGGACTTAGAGATGGGCTTGGAGATGAGGGAAGGGAAGACCAGGGAGCTGGGAAGGAGAGTTGAAGCTACTTGGGGGGCCAGGTGCTTGCCAGTGGTGACAGAGAACTGGAGTTCAGGCCAGGAATATGTGCATGTCCCCCAAGAGCACAGTACTGACACATCACAGCTGTCTGCCTGTGGACTATTTGTTGCTACACTTTGTGTGAGGAATGCTCCCTGCAGTTCTGGTGGTCTGATGTTGGGTGGGTGCCTGAGAAGACCTACTCTCAGAGACACAGGTAGCCATTCACTCATTTCCTGGGGAGAGGACTCTTTGGTGGTCCCCAAACTGGTTGATATTTTCATAAGGGAGTCCAGCAAACCTCAGAAAGGAGGCACAGGAAACTGTGGGGGTCAGCAGGGTTCCCAAGCTTGAGCCTGTCTTGAGGTTACTGGGAGTCAGCAATGGCCACTTCTCGCATTCAGGCCAGCCACCTGGCCATATGCTCACTCCCAGAGCCTCAATAACGGAGCCGAAAGTCTCAGAGAGAAGCTGATTCCTGGTTATTCAGTGTTCTAACTGACAGATCTTTTCAGGTAGATTGTTTGTTTCCCCCAAGAGAGGCGCCTGCACCTGCCCAAAGGACTTTCATAGTCCCCATGGTGTCAGCAGCCACTGTCCTCTCATTCCAAGGCCTGCCATTCTTTTAACCTTCAGCAGCACGGAGATGGGAGAAGGCGGAAAAAAGGCCCTTTATAACCAAATTATCTCTGTGCATTCATCTGCCATTATGTTAATGCATCACGAAGCCCGGCAGATGGTCCAAAGTCAATTATGCTGGTATTAAAAAGGGAGAAATTGACCTTTTCAGGACTCTCTTAGATTCCAGAGCAGAGTTTGCAAATTCAGGCTTCAGGCTTGGCATGGGGGTGACAGCGCACAGCACTTTGGAAGAAGGAAAGAGACAGGGTCGGGTGGTCAGCCCAGGGACTCCAGTCTTTTGCTGGCTGCCTGTCATACCTGCACATTCTTTCAAAGAGGCCAGCGTAGCCATCACAATTGGTCTTCTGTGTTCGTAGGATGTCAGTGGGTTTGAAGGCCTGGCGGTCTTTCTCCTGGGCAGCCTCGACATCATACTCTGGAAGGCAGAGGAGGGGGCAGTGTGAACCAGAGCCCTGAGGCCACCTCCAGCTGTGCTCTGGGTATCAGCAGGCCAGGGGAAATCACAGTGGGATGAATGGAACCAGGACCCCAGACCAAGCTAAATCTGGGAAATGTCACCTTTCATGCAGGTGGTGAGAAGAAGGGCAAGAGCGAGAGGGGTTCACCTAGCTCTCAGACCTCTGAGGAGGGGCTGAGTGTGTGTGTGTGTGTGTGTTCCTGAGACTGGGAGCAATAAATAAAGTCCTTTTTTTTGGTGGGACTGGAGTTAGAACTCATGGCTTCACACTTGCAAAGCAGTCACTCTACTGCTTGAACCACACTTCCAGTCCATTTTGTTCTGGTTACTTTGGAGATGGGGGTCTAGAGAACTATATGCCCAGGCTGGTCTCAAACTGTGATCCTCCTCATCTCAGTCTTTCATGTAGCTAGGATTATAGGCATGAACCACTGGCTCCTGGCTGAATGTTCTATTTTGTAATCCTGCTCCTTTGAGACCAAGTGTTGCTGGTGGGGCTGGGATGGTTGGAAGTGGACCCTCAAGCCCTATGTTCAGAACTTCTACCTATGTTAGGTGACTTTATCCTTTAAGCACCACTGGGAGGATGAAGGAAAAGCCCCAGCATAGCAGGATGGAAAGGTCTGTCTATTCTTCATGTCAAGGTACCAGGAGGTGTCAACCCATGGCTTGGTCCTGCCATCTGTCATTCATGCTCACTAACCTCAGCAAGTGCAACATCCCCTTTGCAGCCACTCTGTGACTTGGCTGGATTTGGTGAGGTTCCCAACACTGTCCTGTAGACAGCTGTGGGAAGCTGCTCAGGCCCAGATCCCCTAAAGTGGCTCTGAGAACCCTGGTAAGTGGGCTGACACCAGTGGCCAAGGTCACCAGTATAAGAGCAGGAAACAGGGAGGAGACAATCCATTCTTCCTAGAACTGGTACTTTATACAGACTCTAGTGTTGCAATAGCTGTCAAACTGTGACTCTCCTCAACCAGTAGTCATCCTTCTTGGAGATGACTGTCCTGAGTTCTCATCTCTGTGGAGCAGACTCACTAGGAAGTCAGGACTAAGGGAAGGCTGCTGCTGGGTGAAAGTCCCAGACCTGGAGGGTGAGTCTTACCCTCCTGGGTTAGTGTCTGGTTACTCAATCCAGCCATCAGGAAGTCCTTTTATTCTCCCAACTCACCCCTCACATACTGTTGATGGAGTGGGAGCAGTGACCTGTGGGGAGTGACATTCATGGGTTTTAATGGCAGCAGCACCACAGATGGGCTTACCTATGTGGTGGCAGATCCAGATCCAGATGGCACGGACTCTTTCCAGATCACTGTGGGCTTCCTGGAGCAGGTCACTCACCAGCTCATCAAGGCCACTTTTGACCGTCACCTGGGAAACAGGAAGGGTGTGTTGCATCAGGGCCTGGAGGAGGGCTGGGGGAACCCAGTTCCTGCCATCTGCAGCCAGTTCTGCTCTTCCTCCAGGCAGGGAAGCTGGAGAAGAGGCACAGAAGGTCAGAGGCTGGTAAGAGGGTGAATCCTGAGCAGGTGGGGGGAGTTGGACAGGGCAGATGGTGATGACCAGCTGAATCATGGACCCTAGAACCACCACAGGTTTTCTCTGAGGATCCTGGGGCCAGCTAGATGGGCATCTACATGGCTGTAGTAGTCTCTAGTCAAAGACAATCTATAGGTTCAACACAATCCTTATTAAAATTCCAAAAACTCTTTTTGGCTGAAATGGAAAATGCAATCTTCAAATTCATGTGGAATCGCAGGGGGCTCTGAGAAGCCAAAGAAATTTTGGAAAAGAAGAACAAGGTTGAAGGACTTACATTTCCCAATTTGGAGACTCTATAAAGCTAATCAAAGTGGTTTTATACTTGCATGAGGATCATACAGACCATCTAGACCAGAAATAAGCCCATACATCCATGGGCAATTGATTTTTGACAAGGGTGCCAATGCTATTTAATGGAGGAAAGAATAGTTTCCTTAATAAATGGTACCAGAACAATTGGATTTCCACATGTGAAAGAATGATGTGGGTCTCTATCTCATGCCATATACAAAAGTAAACTCAAAATGGATCAATGACTCAAATATAAGAGCTGAAATTATAAAATTCTTAGAAGAAAATACGGGTAAATCATCGTGACCTCGGATTTGGCCATGGATTCCTAGATATGACACCAAAGACACAAGTGACAAAAGAAAAAATAGGCAGATTGGAGTTCATTAAAATAAAAATTTCTAAACATTAAAAAAAATATTAATAAAGAAAAAGAAATACTATAGAAGCACATTAAATATATATATTTCATATATATATGAAAATAGCATAAGGAAACCAACACAAACTGTTAAAAGGAGGAAAGAGGAAGGAGGAAGAGAGGAGGTTAAGAAAGAGCAATATACATGGGGTGAATTTGATCAAAGTGTATTACACGCATGATGTAAATATCACAACGAAACCCCTTTGTACAATAAATTTGTGCTAATAAAAATCTAGTTAAAAAATAAAGAGGGTTTATTATAAGCCAAAAGAAAGAAAGAAAAAGGACAATTTGCAGAGTGTGAAAAAAAGCACTGCAAATCAGATACTTGATAAGGGTTTAATATTCAAAATGTATAAAGAACATATACACTTACATACTTTTTACACAAATGGCCAATGTGCATGTGAAAAAATGCTCAAGAGAAATGTAAGTCAAAACTACCATGATATACTACTTTGTACCTAGCAGTATGAAATAATACGGATATTAAAAAATAAAACTAGAACATAACAAGTGTTGGCAAGGAGATGGTAAAATCAGAGACTTCATACATTACTGGTGGGAATGTAAAACGGCTCAGTTGCTGTGGACAACACTTTTGTGTCTCCTCAAAAAAGCTAAATAGAGGAAATTCACCCCAAGGTAATACCCCCAAAACTGAAGGCAAGGACTTGTTCATAGATACTTGTTCACCAATGGTCATTGCAGCACTATTCACAATAGCCAAAGGTATGAAGTGCCTATCGCAGGATGAATGGATACACAAAATGTGGCATATATACACAATGGAATATTATCCAACCATGACAAGGAGTAATTAAGTTCCTTACATACTAAGGGTACTAAGTGAAATAAGTCAGGCATAGAAGGACAGGGCCTGTGTGATTAAGTAAAACACCCAGAAGAAGTAAAAGACTGTAAGTAGAGGTCACCAAGGGCTGGAGAGGTGGGATGAGGGATCATTGCTTAATGAGTATAGAGTTTTTATTTGGGATAATGAAAGGGTTTTAGAAATAGTGGTGGTGGCTATGTAACAATTTGTCATTAATGCCAATAAGTTGTACACTTAAAAGTAATTAAAATGGCAAATTTTGTATTATATGTTACCTTACCATGGTAATAATAGTAATTAATAATAATAATAACAGTAATAAAAAAACAGATTAACCTTTCTCTTAGGGACCTTCCAGGGGAGTCAGGATTTAGGGTTGCTGGGAGGGCAGCCTTGATTCTGCTGAACTTTCTAGAACCTGGAGCCTGCAGTGGTGCCTATGCCCTACCAGCCCCACCTCAGGGTTTCACCTGGAACTGTTACACCAATCACGCAGGAACTTCCAGTTGCTCCCAATATCTTATGTTTTGACCCTTTGGGCTCCTCTTTTCTCCCACTCAGATATTTCCCAGCTCTCTTCTGCTTAATTTTCTTCTATGATAGGCCCTAATGCCATGGTTTTTGTCTCTTTCCAGGACCTCTCTCTACATTGCAGGTCCACATTACAGCCTGGGGTCCTGACTAAACCCTGGATTTCAGTTCTGTAGCTCTGATTCATGGGTGTTATCTTCTTGGCCCTCCCTGGGCCTGGCTGGCACCAGCCACCTACTGCTCTTTGACTGAATGTCTGGCCTCAGCTGGCACTGTGCTCTAAGCCTGGTCTGCAGCTTGTCCTATCCATTCTAGTGACAGTGCCAAGTGCCCTGCCCTCCTCAGACTCTGGACTCCCTCCTCCCTTAATAGATGGCCTGGTCTTAGCCTCTCATGAGGCCAGGAAGAATTTGCGTACTGACAAGCCTCCTTTTCCTCTCTACTGCTTCAGGTATCTATCTCTACCTCAGCTTTGGTTAAGGCCTCCTGACTGCAGGGATAGCTCTTCTTCACTCAGTGCCCTCCCTCACCTTGGTCCCCATCCCTCTATTCTTTTCCTGGCTGACCTATATCTTCCTGTTTTCCCATCTTAAATGCCTACCAATTTCCTTAGTCCTGCTACAGGTAGCCTCCCTTCTCTGCTAGCCACCTGGGGCTATTCTTTTACCTTCTATCCTCCACCCACTGGAGTCCACCTGAGACCTCCAGCCATTTTGAGGGGGCACTTTAGCTCTTTATCTGCCTTCCCCATGCCATCTCAGACTTGCCTAGGCTCAGAGGCATGAGACTGTGGCAGCTCATGTACTCCAGGGGTAAGCATGACTGTGGTCCCAGTGGCTCTGGCTATCTTTATCTGTGGTCCTCCCCCATCCTCCTCCTATCTTTCTCCATTGGCTGGATGCTGTCAGAGATCATCACAGTGATGCCCAAATAAGTAGGGGAAAGGCAGGGCTGGCCAGCTGATGGGCAGCTGCAGAGTGTGTAGCCTGGGGTGGAAGCATCAAGATGGTGGGTGGATGAGGACAGAATGGCTTTTAGTCCTGGGCAGGGGTCTGCAGCCTTGGCCTTCTGTTTCCTATCCACATGCTGTGAAAAGGCCCTCCCAAGCCATACATCTGGGTGACTCAGGGAAAGTTCAGGAGGGACTTTGATGCCCTGGTTTAGGAAACTCCAAGCCATCTTTGGGAGGGTCTTTGGTCAGAGCACCAGCTCTCCTACCTGTGAAGCATAGGTGTCTAGTTTTTCAAACTGCTGCAGGTCCAGGGGCATGGATTTCAGACTGGACCTGTCCCAAGGGTAGGCTGGAAACACAAGAAGGCTCAGTCAGCACTTGAGTCCTACTGTGGAAGGCTATCCCACCCAGACCCACCCAGACCTCACTCTTTCTTGAGGAGCTGTGACTGCCTAACTTTAAACACAATTCCCCAAGTCTACTCCCAAGAACCGCATCTCCTAGCAGAGTTCCCTGGTCAAATAGTTTGAAAACTGACCATTCCTGTAGCCCTCTTGGAGATCCCCAGGAAGCATGGCTCCATCTGCAGGACCCTGAGAAGTCAACATTACAGTTGACTTAACTTCAGTCTACCCAGCAGTCCCCAGACATACTGGTGATGGAACTTCCTTCTTCTACAATCTAGTTTTCTGAAGCTTTCTGTGGGAAGTGTCAAAGTAGTGTTGCTAACCCTGGCAGGTTCAAAGCCATGGCCACACAATGGGGTGAGGTATAGGCATGGCAGTGCTGGCCATCCTGGTCCTATAGCGTGAGGTATGTTTGGCATCCACACAGACTTCCTTTCTTGCCCATGGCCAGCTGGAGTCTGGATCAATCCAAGAAAGCCAACTATGGTGACATATTCTGGTAACAGGCACTGGAGGCAAGGAGCCTCTGAGACTGGGCCTCACAATCACTCACATTGCCCAGACTTTCTCATAGGAAGCTTACTGCTCAGAAACTGGGCCTTGAGTCAGGTTGTGGGGATAGTGATACAGGAAGAAAGAAAACTCAACACTGATGTTAACTCAGGGTAACCAGCCACCCAGGCTTCTCTGCTGGGCATAGAAGAGCCCCAGGCAGTGCTGTGGGGTAGTGTTGGGAGACAGAGCTGGAGCTCAGGGTTCTAGCACCATCATGGCTCCTGATCACCCCACTAAAGTTGAATCTAGGATTTCTTGCTGGGTACCATGACTTAGATCATCATCACCCTGGTATGTGTGCCCAAGGGCAGCTGTTCTCCAGTCAGCCCCTCAGAAAGGTGGGGTACCCCAGCAGATTCTTGGACTACTTCCCGATACCTTTCCTTCCAAAGTCTCTTCCATAATGCCCTAGGAAGATATGAAGTGGACTTACACATTGAACAGATTTCCACTCAGTATAGCTCTCCCCTTGCTCCAATCTAGAAGGATGGAATTTCTAAAATGGGATTGAAAACCCTATTTTACTATTTTTCCCTTTCTTGATTCTATTTTACAATATTTACTATTTGCTATTAAAATACCTACAATGATTTATGCCTCATTAAATCTACCTTCTGAGAAGGTTATATAAAATGCAAATATTATTTTTGCATAAATTTATTTAAACCATCAGTAGCATTAACTAAATCATTCTAATTTTAAAGCAGAACCATAGGAAGAAGTGCTGAGTTGCAACAAGACTTAGGAGGCATCTTGTTTACCAAGGGGGAAACTGAGTCCTAGGGAAGGCAAGTGAGGGGAAAGGCAGGATTCTAGCCCAGGCCGTCTATCACCCCACTCAGTATTTCTTCCTCTGCCTTAGCTTGCTACTCACATGGTCCCCACCTTACAGACATTTAAAGTTAACATCATTCTGAATTCCGTTTTTAATTGTTTCCCATAGTGGGCTGCTTTTTTATTAGGAGGAGTCAGTTTTTAGCTTTGGGAGGACATCTGACCTAAGAGCTTCTTCCTTCTCCACCATGTCCATGACAGACATTGTTAATCCACCATGACATTCTTCCCTCCAAACCCAGAGGCGGCCTGGACTCTTAACGTCCAGGAAGACATTGTCAATTGACTGGAAATTGATTTGTGAAACCAACTCACTGTGAGTTTTTGGGAACGATCCTGGAAAAGACTGGAACTTACCATGGGCATCTTTCCCTCCAGGCTGGCGGGGTCTCATGTTTCCATTTTTATCACCTTGCAAACCTACAATATCCCAAAGGTCAGAGGAAACAGAGATGAAACGCATGATTTTCTATATGACAGTCCTGACTTCTGACTCGTTCCCTTCATTCTCTTTTCATGGTCTCCTTGCTCCCATCTCTGCCCATCATAGAACTGCTGCTGGAATTTGCCAGGAAGTTTTTGGTGGAGCAAGAGGGAAGAATGGCAACAAGGAATAAATGACAGAAAAGGGAGCTGTGGCCTCTGAGCAGAATTCCTAATGTGCTTTGACCTCACTACTTAGGATTATGTAGCAGACATTCTTCTGTGCTCTCTTTCCATCTTGGAACATAGCTGGGGATTCCAAGGGCACAAATCAATTCCCTCCAGATAACCCCCAGGACAAGAACTGACCATGGGTAAAAATGAAAATAGAAGGGAAGGCAGTTTGTGTGGACCTTGGAACACAGAAAGCTCAAGTATTTATTAAAGGGTACCTGAACCCTGAGAATTCAGGATGGTTAAGGCAGAATGGCAGTCAATAGTTATTAGACTCTATGAGCAAAATGAAAAGGAAATTTCCCTGGTGATTTGAAACCAGGTCAGGAAGGTGTGGGTCTCTTTTGGAACTACATGGAGTTGGGTGGGAATTCTGAGGTAGGTGGTGTAGGCCACTAAAAGCTACTTTAAGCTGTTTATAAAAACAGAAGGTTGCAAATGTCCACAGGCCACCCTGAAAAACAGCAGTTCTTTTGTTTCTTGCATCTGTGCCAGAAACCATCTAGGTTTCCACCTCCATCATCTTATTCAATGATAGATGATACATACTTGATATAGTATTTCATGAGAACTTACTGTGTCTGACCTGGGATTTACCGCTACTATCTCTTCTGACCTCACAATAATCCTATGAGGGAGGTTTACTTATTTTCCCCCTCTTACAGATGAAGAAATAAGAGTCCAAAAAGACTGGGTAAGCTGCTTGCCCAAGGTCACACAGCTGAGAAATAAACCCAGCTAGTGGAACCTAGAGCCACACTAGATCCCCTCCTGGGATCCCAACAGCTGATGGCTGCAGGGCCAGACAGCCATGGAAGACTTTGGCTCTTTGAGTGGACATTAGGATGACATGAGCTTCCTCTGCAGCCTCCGTTCCTTGGCCTGCCTTCTTCCTGAGTTCCATTTCGCTATGAGATGGACATGGGTGGGGAGAAGATCAAGAGCAGAGACGAGGAAGCACTGTGGTCCTGTCCGTACACGTACACTGACAGCAACTGAGTACTGTGCTTAAGCCAGGGCTTTAAAGACCAACATGGGTTCTTGGACAATTATTTCACCTTTCTGAGCTTCACTTTGCTGATCTAGAAAACATGGGAATTCCTTTGAGATGTTTAGACGTTTCAGGCTCCTTGAATGGATTCAGAAAAGAGAAAATGAAAGGCACATCTGGCAAAACTTACCTGTCATCCCTGAGTTTTGGGTAGGCCTAGGTCACATCTCCATGTTTTAAAATAATAAGCAGTAGCCATCTTAGCCACCCAGAATCATTGTCTAATGATTAGGTGTTGCTAGACAACAGGGCCACATGTATCCCCCCAGCTCATAAAGTATAAAAACTAAAGATATGAGCCACCATTTTGAGACTCCACTTCCATTTTCTGTGAGGGGAACAGGAAATGTTTCTCCTTTCCCCTGCACCATTTCCCCCTACTTTATCCTGCTACACTAAAATAACTCCCTGCTAAAATTTTAAAAAAGTGGTGATAATATTGTATAGGTCAAATATACAATATATAATATTGTATAGGTCACAAAGTTAATGAATGTATTTAGCATTGAGCATCCCAAGTTCTTGGCAGTCAACAAGTGCCGCCACCAATACCAACACTTTTGTGATGAAAGACACCTTCAGCTACATACCCTGTGTCACCCATGCTTAATTCCTAGAAGCAAGAAGAGTGGAAGGTGAGATGAAATGGTCATTCCTCTCTGCTTTTGTCCTAGGTTTTAGGCCCAAGTCACTTTTCCCCTTTCCTCAGAAGATATCCAGGCTGGGATCTGGTCTACCCCACTGCCCTCTACCCTCCCTGCAAGCCCTTCAACATAAGCAGCCTTGTATGTACATACGTTTAGCCAAGGAGAACTTCTTGAGAAACTGAGGCATGGAGTCTTGGGGGTGCACCTCTACAGTCAACTGTGTCCCTGCAAAGGAGGAGGAAAAAGTGATATTCTCAGCCAGATGCTGCCAAGAAGGGCTCACTACCCCATGACAGATGTTCAAACAGCAAAGCACAATTTGTGTTAAGACATTACTTTTGAATATACAGGTAATTAAGTTTGTTCAAAAACCAAAACAACAAACCAAGCAGTGTTCGGATCAGGGCAAGATGGAGAATGCATACTCTACCTTAACTCTCCCACTGAATGTAACTACCCACCTTGGAGAGAGCTCATGGGAAAGCCATCTGCAGACTTTGGGAAGTGGGTGACGGAGGAAGACCAGGATGTAAGCACCACTAAATTGGCAGTGAGTTTTCTGTTCTCCTCCCCACCTCTGGCTTTCTCCTTCCCTTTCTAATCTGGACTGAAAGGCATCCTTAACCTCAGAAGTGCCCAATGGGTGCAGAGGAAAAGCACCCAAGAGAAATCCTCTCTGGGCTGGTGGTGTGGCTTAAGTGGTAGAGCACCTGCCTCACAATTATGAGGGAGAGGGAGAGGGAGAGGGAGAAGGAGAGGGAGGAAGAGGGAGGGAAAGGGAGAGGGAGAGAGACAGGACCCCTAAGAGTTTGAAGCCCTGAGTTCAAACCCCAGTACTACCGAGAGGGAGTGGGAGAGGAGAGGGAGGAAGAGAGAGGACCCCTAAGAGTCAGAGAGAGCGGGTTGGGGGCATCCCTTGCTGTTGTGTTTTCCCTTTTTTTGTTGTTTCCCTACAGTTCTCAGACAATTCCATTGGCAGCAGTGATGATAGTGGTCAGGCAAGCACCGTAGACTTTCTTCTGCCAGAGAAGCTATGATCCCAAGAATACGGGGGCAAACACCTACCCTTTTTCCATTTTCTTCCAATTACCCCCAAATGCAGAAATACATGACAGAGTGAGGAAACTGAAGTGCTCACTCTTTGGCTGGAAGACCAGGAAGTGGGTCATGAAGAGGAGGGGCTCAAGGGAGCAATTCTATAATGTAGCAGATGAAGTCCTGTGGTTACCTCTGTGCCATGCATCACAGATCTCACCCTAAATATCACACTACGGTCTTTGAGAACTGAACTCTGGGGAAGACCAGGGTACTACCACCTCCAGACTAGCCACTTGGTGGTGCACATGCAGGGCAGATCCAAAATTACTCAGAAGTATACCCAGGAAAACCTCAATTTGAAAAGGAAAAGATAATGACCAGATGCTAATTCCATGATAACTTTAAAATAGCCATGCTCTACAAAGTAAGGGCAAGCAGTCTGGAAATAAATGAAAAGAGACTAAGTATCAAAGTATCAGCACAGAAATGGAAGATACAAGAAAGAAACAAGTGGAGATTTTAGCAGTGAAATACATAAGTTTTAAAATTTCTCTAGATTTGTCTAATAGCAGAATAGAGATGACAGGAGTCAGAGGACTTGAAGATAGAACAATAGACATGATCCAATTTGAATGATTCAGAAAGTGAACAATGTCTCAGGAATTCAGAGGACAATACCTAAAAGTCTAACATTAGTGTCCCTGAAGTCTCAGAAGGAGAGGAAAAATAATGCAATGTACAAAAATATTCAACAAAATAACAAAACTTCCAAAATTTGGCAACATAATCTGTAAACATAAGTTTACAGATTTAAGAGGCTGAGTGATTCCTAAACATGATAAACAAAGAAATCCAAGTCCAGATACATTCTAATTGCATCACTGAAGGGAAAAAAAAAACTTGACAAGTAGCTCATGAAACTATGCATTATATATAGAATTTGCTACAGATTTCTCATCAGAAACCAGGTCAGAAGGATGTGGAACATTTTCAAAATGCTGAAAGGATGAAATGTCAACACAGAATTCTATCTCCAGTAAAAGGATCATTCAAAAATGAAGGTAAAATAAAGACATTCTTAGATATAGTAAAATCATGAGAGTTGATTAACAGGCTTGCCCTAAAAGAAATGGTAGTGGAAGTTCTGCAGATGGAAAAGAAATGGTAGTAAGGTGAGATTTAGAAGAGAAACATAACTGGTAAATATGGTCAATTCTTTTCCTTTTAAGTTCTTCATCATATGAATTACAATTGAAAATAATAATTATAACATTGTCTTATAGGATAATTGTCTGGTAGTTTCTTTTGTTGTTTTGCTTTTTTGAGATGGGATTTTACAACCTTTACCCAAGCAAACTCATGGGCTCATGTGATCTTCCTGCTTCAGTCTCCTGAGGAGGTGGGACTATAGGCAAGTACCACCACACCTGACTGGCAATTTCTTACAAAACAAAACATACACTTACTGTAAACCCAACAATTGTACTTCTGGGCATTTGACACAGAGAATGAAAACTTGTGGTCACACAAAAACCTGTACATAGTGTTTACAGAAGTTCTATTTATACTCACCCCAAACTGGATACAACTTAAATGTCCTTCAGTGAATGAACGGACAAACAATCTGAGGTACAGCCATGTGGAGAAATACTTCTAAACAACACAGAAAACCTCTTAGGAGTGACTGGGGATTAACGACTTCACAGGGGAAATTTTGGGAGATATAGCTGCTCTATGCCCTGAGTATGGTGGCGGTCAAATGAATCTATGTATGTGTTAAAACTCAGAACTACACGCCATAAAAATCAACTTTACTGAATGTTAATGTAAAATCAAATAAAAAGAAAAACAAAACACTAACACCACACCTGTGCACACACACATCCACAAAACCCAAGTAGCATTTAAACAAAAACAAACCTTTAAATAGTATAGAAAGATACAAAGGTGAAATTAAAGTCCTTTTAGACTTAATTTCTACATTTAAACACCTAAAAGCAGTATAATACTAAAAATTCTGTTTGTAATCTGCTTTCTTTCTTTAAATCTTTACACATCAAGAATATAGGTATGTCATCATTATGACTACATAATGCTGTTTTATCTATGGTTTAAAATCCATTTAAACAATGCTTTTTGTTGGATATTTTGCTTTTGCTAAATGTCTTGCTAAGTAAACAATAGTGTGGTGAACATTCTGATAGAGACATCTTCAACACTTTTCAAATCAGTCCCTTTGAATAAACTCTTAAATATGGATGCAAAAATATGGAGATTTTTAAGGCTTTCGTTGGATTTTGGCAAACTTGTCCCAGGAACTATTTCATTGGTTTATGATCCTACCTACGGGGCAAGCGAATAACCATTTTGTTCATTCTTGCTGAGGCTGATTGCAAAACTGGCAACAATATTTTGTTCTTCTTTTCAATGAGAGGTCTTTTGTTTCACCCTTGAATTTGGGCTGGCCCATCACTTAGTTTGTCCAAGTAGCATGTGGCAGAACTGATGTTACAGAAGTCTGAGCTTAGCCCTCAAGAGAGTTTGAAGCTTTTGGTCTCATTCTTGGGATCCCAGCCATAAACGCTGGGTGAATATGTCAGGCTGTGGATGAGTGACCGACCACATGGAGTTAGTCAAGCAGAGCTTCTCAGGTGAAGGTATCCCAGACCAGCTGGTCTCCAGCCAACTCACCAGCTGACACGAGCAAGCCGAGCCAAGAGATCAGCCGGGTATGGCTCAAAGAACATCCCACCAACCTGCAGTTTGTAAGCTCGCAAATGCTGATTGTTTCCAGGAGCTGAGTTTTGTGGTGGTGTGTAATGAAAAATAGATGACTGATATTGACATTTGCTTTAATCAGTCCTGCAAATTTTTGTCAATGAATGATACTTCATTGTTCTTGTATATTTCTTTAATTCATCTATTTGCCATTTAAATTTTTATCTTGTGAATTGACTATTTTCTTATTGATTTATTACTTCTTAATTACTGATTTTGTGGGAGCTCCTTTTATTATACATTTGAGTGCTAAATGTGTTGCAATTCTTTCTTTTTTTTTGTGGAAAGCAATACTGATTTTCTTGCTCATGACTTGCCCTGCAAGTTAAAGAAGGCACTTCTCAAAACAATTAAAAAAGATAAGGTGTGTTCTGCCCAGGTATTGTTCGAAGGCGTTACCATTCATGTAATTTTTAGCACATTTACTGTCAATGAAAATCAACCTGGTGATTTCATAATGAAGACATTATTTCGGATTTCAAGGCATAACGCACTTGTGGTCGTGGAGTTCAGTGCTGTCACCAACAGTAGTGACAACTTCTTATGTGTCTTTCCCTGGTACTTGAGGCCTGGGCTCTGTTCTACTTTGTTTTCTTACCTTCTCCATTCCACATACTCTGGGGTGTTTTTTGAAGTGGGCATGAAGTGGTCCATAGCTACACAATGCCTTTCAAAAGATGAGTTGGAAAAATACCCACTTTCTCCTCTCTCAAAGGTGACAATCTATCATGCTCTAAGAAGTCCCGTAGCAAACAAGTCTATTTGACCCAGTATTATTCTGTCAAACACAATTTGGAGAATGCTGGATTAGAACAGTCTCCAGAAGCTTAGAGGAGCTATGAAAGAGAGCAACTTGTCATACAGGTCAGCACAAAACTCTTCCCCAAACTTCTCATAACACCCATGTACTTCCAGCTATTCCCAATTCAATCCTGTCTTTCTGTAAAAGGATAATTGGGTGAAGAACGAAATTGTCTTCAAGTCCTCCCAGGTCTGACACTGAGGGAGTCTCACACTTGGAGTGTGGCCCTGACCCAGAAGCTCCTCCCATTACCATTTCCAATCCCTTCTCTTCTTCCCTCTCAAACAGAGCCAATGCCTAACATTCTCCTGAAGGCTGCTGCCTGGCTCCTCTCACCCCACATCTGCACTGCCACTGAGCATTGCCTCAAATAAGCCGCAATGATCTTGGGTGTCTGCATCCTGCTCTCCTTCACAGGTGTGTGGAGGCTTCTAGAGACTTCTTTGGCTCTATAGATGGCCTGGGATGGGCATCCTGACTTATCAGTATTGACTACATGGATTCATGCTTCCTAAAGGCATGAAGGAGACAGAGTACACTGACTGTGATGCTCCTGTATCAAATAAAACTCTGAATTTAAGGAAAAATACTAATTTGATCAATCTCTAATCATAGAAGGTCCTCACTGGAGCAAAAGTCACAGTTGGATCTGAACCTTAAGTACAGTCAGATGCCATTACACTTATATTGGCCATGAACTATCACAGCCAAATGTAAAGGAAGCCCTTCCTGGGACGTAAGGTAGCCTGGCTGACCTCTGTCATAGCACCCCTCTCCAGTTCATCCATTCTCACCCAAACAACTTTTCTGAAACTGCAGCTTTGCCTATCTTAGTAAATGTATTTTAGGAGTTATTTCTTGCTAACCCTACAAAGTGGCTCCCAGATTCTTTTTCTAAATCCCACCGGCTTCCCTTTCTTTTCCCTACCCTCTCAGAAGTGGTAATGCATATGTGTGCACTGTCTTGCTGCTGTCTTTTACCCAATCAAGAGATTTCTCCCACCTGACATCTCTCCAAATTGCTTCAGGTTTCAATCAGGACTTGTCTAAAGGCCTAATTTGCTCAGAATCCCTAATGTGGGGATGGCAAACAGGTTTCGTGTTGTTCATTAAATCTGACTGATTGGAAGTGGCTGCCTAGAGCACTGATCAATTAACAAATACTGTCAGGCACATGTGTGCACAAGAATGTGAGTGTGTGTGAGTATGCATGCATACGCGGGTAAGGTGTGTATACAGGAGCCCAGGATTCATGTCAGATACTGGCCATCATTGACTTAAGGTCAACTAACTTACTATTAACAGTTGTCACATTTGCAAACTAGATTCTCTAACTTGGAAATATTTTTCACAGCAGCTTGGAGCCAGGAAAATTTTAGCGCATTTGCAGTTAAAAAAAAACAAACCCGTATATAGACCCTGGGTAGTTATTCAACAGAAGTGTGCTGTGGTTCTGCCCAGGATGCAGTGGTAGGGAAGTAGTGAGTGAGGACAAGCCAGGAATGAACATACTAGGTGGTGATGGGACTGTCCAGTTCTGTAGAACATCTCAGAACATCACCCTCAGTAGGTACTGCCAGATGTTGTACAGAGGTCCCACTCAGCAGCTCCTGTAGAACATCACAACTCTTGACTGAGCCCATCTGGGTGCCTGCTGGTGTGTTTGATGAAGAGTGTCTTTTGTAGCCTTGACTGCTACTGGCTTCCACTGGGCTCTTGAAAACACAGGCCTATTCATGTTCCCTGGTGTAGGATGGAGCTCCATGGGAAGTTGCAGGTCTGGAAACATGGCAGTTTGACCCTTATTGCATGTACGATCAAAGAGGACTGCTCTGGTTGGGATCAAATAGTGTTTGTATGGGGTGAGAGCTGATGACCTGGAAGCCCCAAAAGAAAACTGACTCCTAACAATATCCTTTGGGGCCTGAAGTCACAGGGCTTCCTGCCATCTACCCCATCTTCTGAAGTACTTTCACATGAGCATCCAAGATTCTAATGTGCCTTTTGTCCCCTAATGCACAAAGTCTACCACTGAATGATAAGCTAAGGAAGAGGGGAAAAAGCTGAGTCATTCTGAGCAACAAGTTCTGACTGAAATCTTGGATTTCTTGTTTGGGTTGGAATGGGGATGTTGCACCTAAATCAGCTCCACAAGAATGGCCCCTGTCCTATATGGAGGAGGCAGTGGAGTGGAGGAGTTAAGACCACTGGCTTTGGGAGCACATGGACATGGTCCAACTCTTGGGTCTAGCATGTGCTAGTTGTGTAACTTCAGGAAAGTTGTTTAGACCTCATTGAACCTCAATTCTCCATTTGCAAAATAGGGGAATTCTGTGCCATGATAACCTCCCCACAGAATGCGCTGGTGAGAATTAAATAAGGGGAGCCATAACAAGTGCTTAGCTCAATGTCTGGCATACTCTACACGTTCTACCTCTGGTCACTACTATTACTGTGACAGGAGGAGCTCCTAAGCCAGCTTCTGTGGGGCTGGCTGGTCCACAGCACAGAATCTAAGGATTTCAAGGCTCATTGGATCAGTAGGGAAGTAGCACATGGAATAGTGGTTCCCTGGGCGCTGTTTTCCAAAATGGCAGGTGATGGCACTAGCCTCAACAATGTTAACTCTCCTCTCTCCTCTACTCCCATCCTTCCCACTACTTGGGTTCTAGTCCTTGACACGTCCCTTTCTCCTTACACCTCAAATCTACACCATGGGAAAACCTCTTGCTTGGATTATCACAATGCCCTTAATGGCGTCTTCTTGCTATTAACTTCCCTTCTGTTTTTTTCTCTACTCAGTGGGGGATGTTATGACTAAAAGCACCTGATGGTTTCTAATCACACTCAGAGTAGAAGTCAGCACACTGAGGCAGTCTTCAGGCCCTGTAAATCCTTCCCCTTTGAATCTCTGGCCCAATTCCTACTTCTCCACGCTGTCCTTGCTTTTCTCTCCCTCCAACCACTGCTCCTGAACACTCCAGACATATTCCTGTCTGGCCTTCATGACTAGAAGTCACTTTCTCAGTGAGGCCTTGCTTGTCTACTCTTTTTTGTTTTTCTTTTTGGTGCTGGGGATCAAACCCAGGACCTCATGCATACTAGACGAGTGCTCTATCACCAAGCTACATCCAACCCAACCCTCCACCACTGTATTTTAAATTGTTCCTGTGGTAGGCCCAATAATAGCCTTTAAAGATACCCATGCCAGAATTTCTGGAACCTGAGAATGTTACCTTCTATGGCAAGGGAGCTTTTGAAGATGTGATTAAACGAAAGATATAGGGATAGAGAGATTATCCCGGGTTATATGGCTGGGCCGGTGCAACCACATACAACCTTATAAAAGGGTGAGAAGAAGAGAAGGCAATGCGATAATGCATGCGGAGACTGGAACGACACAGCCAATAAGCCAAGGAATTCTGACAGCCTATGGAAGCAGAAAGAAGCAAGGAATGGCTCCTCCCTTAGAGCCTCCAATAGTATCCAGTCCTGCTAACAGTTTGACTTTAGCTTAATGAGCTGACTTTGGACTTCTCACGTCCAGAAGTTTGAGAGAAAAAAATGAGTTGTTTTGAGTCATCAAACTTGTGGGAATTTGCTACAGCAGCTGTAGCAAATGGCTATACTATCTTTCCCCACCACCATTCCACCTACTTTATTTTCTCTTTCAACTGTACCTAACTCACTATTTTGCTTGTTAGGATTGTCCATCTCCTTTCTCTAGGATGTCCTCCACAAGGGCAAGAGCTTTTTGTCTGTTTTGTTTTCTAAGTGGTTGTTCATCTTCTCTCTTTCTAGAAAGGTATCTCTGAGTTTTGCTTTGTGATCAGCTGTGTGCAGCTAAGTTGATTTTAGAGAAGCAGCAGGACCTGGGCTCGTTCTTGTGCTCAGGGCAGGTGACAGGTCTCAGTGGACTCACCATATATATTTCCAGGAATTCTAGTCTGAAGGGATATTGATGCAGACTGCAAAGAGAGCTGTCAGTCAACTGCAGAATTATCTTGGTGATGCTCTTGCCTGCCATTCTTGAGCCCTCAAAGCCTGGCTTGGGAAGGTGAGAATTCAAAGGCAGCAAACTAAGCACTAGGTGATGCCCTTTGCAGGCTTAGTCTCAGAAGAGACCAAGGAAGCACTGTGACTTAGAGTGAGGGAGGACTTGGACACTGTGAGCCAGCAAGGAGAAGCCAGGTTCTGGGGGAGCTGAGGAAACCGAACCATGTGAAAGTTGATAGATGAGAACTTGCTGGGGGGTGGAAGGCAGAGGAGCAGAGTGCTGGCTTTGATTCTTGCTGGTAATGTGATCTTTGATATATGACAGCTTAGGGAAGCCTCAGTTTCTTCATCTGTAAAATGAGGATAGTGAGAGCACCTATCAAATAAGATTGCTGTGAAAGTTAATGTATATGAGAATAAATGTATAAATGGCTTGGCAGAGTGCCTGACATATGGTTAGCACTCAATAAATGTTATCCATAGTGATGACAATGATGGTGGGTGGTGATGATGATGGGGCTCCACAGCCCTAGGACTTTTTATCTTGACCCCAGATGAAGGGCCGACTTGGACCATGCAGTGCTTCCTCTGGGATGCAGGGAGAGGAAAAAGATGCTCCAACCTCCATGGGGCACAGAGGAGCTGCTCCCCACAGTTTTGAGCTCCACTCCCTGGGCTGACTCTAGCTGGGGCAGCAGATCCAGGCGCAAAGCCACAGGAGAAATCACAACTAGTGGCGAATCACTTACCTTGGTTGTCATAGGAAGTGATGACCTGGGGCTGCTGAGGATGCTGCTTCTGTGCCACGTTTCCTATTTAAGGAAGACAGAGAGGACGGCAATGACTGGGACCACAGTGGAACTTTCCCCTGGCAGAACAGGGAGCTGTGTACGTCTGCAAGAAAAGCAGACTGGCAGGGCCCGGGTATATCCTTAGGTCTGGCCCCAAACACGTGTTCATTCCTGTGCACATGTTCATGGTGTGCACACCTGTGAATCAGCATAGTTATACGTCTGCACGTGGAGGCCAAGGCCTGGGGTCCCATGTGCACATATCCCCTCCCACCTCTCAGCAGGAGCCAACACAGGCTCGGCTTCATTGGAGCAGGCTGGCGACACCTCCAATGGTCTAGGGAGCCATCACTCTTGACTCTGTGTGATCAGGCATGAACACACACGGATGACTTACTGATCTTCACACCTTTTTGTGGAGTGGTCTGGGATGTTCTGACTCAGGACTTGAGCCCCAAATTTCCCAGCTCCTAGATCAGCTTCCTGCCTTCCCCTGAGAAGAACAGAGCAACAGCCTGCTTTCCATTGCCAGCCTTGGAGTTGGGACCGTGTGCATCTTGGTTCAGTTTTGCAAACATTGGTGATACTCACTATATATAAGTTCTCTTCACTCTCTAGGGACATTTCTGTCTCTTGGACACAGAGTTAAGCTTTTCACTGTGGCAGTATCACGCCCAGTGAAGTTCAGCTGAGGCGTGATTATTGCTAAGTGGGACACAGAGCTGTCCTTATAGCCTAGCGAGGTCAGGCTACTGCAGAGAAATGTCTAGTTTTTGCCATAGGTCATCCAGGGGGAACCCACAGGCTTCCCTGTCCCTTCTATGAGAAGCACGACCTTTCCTTCAGCCCTCTTTTGTAGCTGCTGCTGCTGTGGCTGTGTCTTGGTCTTATTGAGGTTGTCCTTGAACTACTGCTTCAGAGAGGTAGAGGGAGGGTCTAGGAGAAGGGTCAGGATAATGTCAGAAGAAAGTTCTGCCACCTCTGCCACACTGAGATGCCATCATCTCCCTCTGGCCTGCCAGTGGGCTGCAGTGGGCCTGCTCCTGGAAGTGACCACTAGGACCAGTATACTTCAGCCTGGGGATAGTGGACCTCTGGTGTGCTGGCCTGGACAGGTTTCATTCAGATGACTGTCCTATGCAGCCAACTAGATGGGTCAGCAGTGCTCCCATGCAGAATCCAGTCCAAGTGGGTGGGTGGAGCACCGAACTGGGATAAGCTTGGGATTCACCTGGCAGGTTCTTCCACTGGGGAAGCCTGTCTGCTCCAGCCTTCTCCTATGAACAGGCCCAACAAGGACTCTGAAGCCCCCAGGCCATGGTGGGTTAGCTGAGGCCGGGCCCACTGCGTGCCAGTGTGGGGTTGATGAGGCAGCTGCACTGGACTCAAGCAAGGAGAAGGAGGCCCACCTCCTGTGGGCACAGCTGGCTACATCTCCAGGAGGAAACAGGATCCGGGAAGGGAATCCTCGAAGAGGGTGATTGGCTGGCAGAGTTACTGAGGGGTATTTATAGTCAGGGCTGCACGATTGGTTTCCCTCTAGCTGTAGGGCACCTGACACTGTGCTGCTAGGCAGACTTTGACCATGGCCAAGGAAAGCAGCCAATCACAGCAGGGGAAGCCCGTTGCTGGGCAAGCTATGGGGGAGGGTGGAACTCAGCCCAAACACCTGCTGCTGCTTCCAAAAGTTTGAAGCGTTCTAGGATCCCTCTCCCCCATACCTCTGCCCTTGCCAACACCCAAGTCCAAGGAGTGTACACAGCAGCAATAGGGGGAATAATGGGTCCCTTTGGATCAATGCCATGTTCAGTCACATATGTGCAGTCTCCCAGCATATGCCATGAGCTGCTTCCTTCTGAGATGAAAGTCATCAGTTTTAGGGCTGGGTGGCCTGCTGGGTATTGTGCCTTGGGCACCAACAAGGCAGGTATGAGAAAAGGTCAACTTCAAAACTCATCCCCTGAATCTTGGTGCCACAAAACACAGAAAGAAGCTGCAATGTCAATTACTGCATGTACACAAACATGCTATTTGAAAATAAAATAAAATTTTGTTTTAAACTACATCTATTGCTAGAGTGGCAGAACCATGAGTCTTTTCTGGATTCAGGACCTCTGTAGAGCCTTTCTCTAGCCCTGCGTTTACTCCATATTCTCAGTTCTTGGCATAGTTTTTGCAGGAATTATTTTAGCCATTCTCATGGACTTACACATTGCACTAACACCCACTTCATAACTTTTACAAGAGTCTTGCTCATTAGTCTTGTAAGTCTTCTGATAGTTACTGCATCACTTTATGTTTTATTACATCTTTCCATTAACTTCCCACCAAATGATGGCAGATGGTAAAAATAGGATGAGTTCAGTATATTTCAATTCTTTTCTGAGAAGCCCAAGGATGAATGTCAGACAACTCAGGCAAGGTAAAAGAGAGCTACAATATACAAGGACACTATGTCTCTTTGTGTCCATCCGTGGCTTCCCTTGCCCACTCACCCACTCACACACTGATCTAGCATACATACCCTCATGGCTGTTTTTGTGGCTGACAGGCTTCTGGAGTCCAATTCTTATTACAATTCTCACTAGCCCATGGCATAGTCTCTCCAGTTATGGCATCTGCTTCACGAGCACTAAATCTGGCATGTCTACCATCTAAGGCCCCAGTAGCAAGATTAAGGAAGACATCGCACTGATGCCCCATTAGCCAGGACACGGAGGAATGGTTCTGCTGTCGGGAGGAGATAGATCTTGAGGTTGACTCTTACCCATGAACAGGACAGGGGACACAGAAAAGCTCTACCCCTTCAGGATTTTGAGACTGTGCTGCAGTGAACGGTATTACAACTGCAGTCATTTTAACGTAGGCCTACAAGGACAGGAGTTCTTGACTGTCTTGTTCACTGTTTCATCTCGAACACTGAAAATTGTGCTCAGCATACAGTAAACACTAAAGACATTAGTTGGCAGATTGCATTTACTTGTAGAACTTTGTCCTTTCCTTTTGTCATTGTCCAAGGGATGGCAGAGCATAGTTATTCTGTTTTGGTTAGTTGCAAGTCTGTTTTCCTATTTATGGAGGGTCAGATGACTGGCATTGATTCCAGGGCTCAGGTGACTGGGGTCTGATGGAGTTCCCTAGAGGGGCTCTGAAAATGGAGATCTGATTCCTATTAGAATTCTACTTGCTCATCATGTGCATTGCCACTGATATTTGTCCCTGGAGGTTGGGCTAATGAATTTGAGGGGCACAGAATAAGGCCACTATAGCCAGCCATAGGGTTCCATATCGTGGGCCTGCACCCAAGAGAAGAACCTTTGGAAGTTGGCTTCTTCTTACTGCATTCTGGGTGCCAGGCCAGCAAGGAGCTACAGAACCCTTGACTGGGGCCTCCCCAGGCCTCAAGTAATAACTGTCTTGGGCTGGCAGAGTAGCTCAAGTGGTAGGTGCCTGTCTAGAAAGCATGAGTCACTGAGCTCAAGCCCCAGTACTACCAAGAAAGATAATAATAACAACTGTCCTAAGTCAGGTCATTGTCCTCTCTGTTTGGAAAAAAATTCAAAAGATGGATAGCTTTTGTGACATGAACAGCCCTGCTTCCTGTGGGAGCATATTCCAACCTCAGCACCCCAAGTGAGAACAAGTCTCCCCTATAACCCAGCCAGCAAACAAGTGGGTGCTCAAGTTCATGGCTTTGTCCCCCCAGCTACCGTCTCCAGGAGAGCAGGGGTCCTTTCCAGGTTCACAGTGGCCCTAGAGGTCTGGCTGAGTTACAAGCAGCCAATTTTTTGCACAGTGGTTAGATATCTAGGGGCAGTCTTCAAATGAATGAAACTTAACCTTTCCCGTTAGTTTTCAATACATTGAGTTACACAGATTGAAAAGGAAATAGGAAGAAAAAGAGAATTTACCATGAAAGTCATTTCCTTCTAATTTCTGCCATTTCCGGATTCCGTTTCCGACACCTTGGAATCCTGTGAAATAATAAGGACTGGCGTGAGGTTCTCTGCGGAGGGAGCCCTAGGGCAAGAGCCATGCACCAGTTGCAGACTTATCTGAGTTAAAGTGGGGCTGAAGGAATGTGGCTGCCTTGGGATCCAAGGGAGGATGAGAAGCATTTGAGGAAATGACTGCAATCCTCAAAAATGAAAACATTTAAAAAATGTTAAAGTAGTATTTCTCAATGGTGGTACAGTAGGTTTTTGGGATTATCCAGGGGGGATTTTTGCAATACAGTTGTCAATTTTCTACTTCTACATCTCAAACACATAAATATGAAAGCCCCCCCCTTTTAAAGAAAGCATTGGCTATCCATTTTTGCCTGCCCATTTCTGTACGTGGTGCAGTGCCCCCCTCCCCCTTGTAGAATCTTGATGTCAGATGAGGGGTAGGCAAAGACTACCTATCTCTCTGGGAATGGAAGCGACACTTTCCTTCTCTCTAACCCTCCTTTGCAGCTAGAACTTGGACATGTGTGGACTAGGCATGGCCCCTCAGATGTACCCGTGTCCCACTCTGGTGATGATGCAATGTGGAAAGGAAGCTCTTTCTCTATGGCAGCTGGAAGTGGTAGCTGCAAGGTCAAGTTCCTGGCATGAAACTGACATACATCCTGGACATGGAAGTCACTGCAACGAAAGTGAGTTCCTGGCATGGAAGAAGTGTCTATTGCACCTTGGTGGCTGTGGAGGTTTTCTCACCAGACTAGCTAGCTCTGTAACACAATTTATGACACTGTTCCTGATTCTGCAACCTTTCAATCATTCAGAAGCCCTCAATTCCTCTTAAGCCCACTCCTGTTCTACAGAGTCCTCTACAATCAAGGTCTGTAGTTAGTTGGACCACTTGGACCCTTCACTGATGTACTCTTGGTGTGGAATGCATGAGTCACATAGACTTTTGCTAGACCTGAAGTTCTTTCAGGCTCTGTGCAGGAAGCTTCAGGCTTCCGCTGCCTGAAGGAATATGTGAACTCTCCTCTCTGAGGCATGCTTTTTGAGCAGCACTGCTGTAAGAAAATAGATGGAAAAATACTAAAGCCCCAGAGAAAAGGAGAAAGAGAGCATCTGCTGGCCTCCTGGAAGAGGAGCTGCTTTGTGCAGGAGACAGGAGGAGATGCCTGGAAGCAGGTAGGGGCTCTTTTGGGATTGTGTACCCACTGGAGGCCTTGGAACAGGTTGTTTTGCTCAGTGTTTTCCTTCTTAGGCTGTGTTCTAAGCAGTGGGCCTGCACACTGGCCTAGCCTGGGGTCTCCTGGACTTTACCACTGCCCAGTAAGCCTTGGAGGCTATGCACGTTCCCTTTCCTCCATTCTGGTACAGAACTGATGGCAAATAGGTGACATAGTTCTCTCCACTGTCACAGCATCTTCAAGAAACCCCCATTGGGAAAATATTCGTAGAAAAATATCAGTATCTATCAAGTAGGGTTGCTTTTACCCAAGTCATGCTTTGTCCTAGGTGTTGGGTACCTCTAAGGACAGTTCTGATGCCTGGCATTTCCTGGGCTTCTCTGTTCCAGAGTTTTTAGGACACAAGTGATCATAGGGAACCGGGAGGTGGGGACTCCTGGGCTGACTTGGAATTGGACTTCACCACCACACACTCAGGGAGCGCTTCTGGATTGTGGTGATTGTAGTAGGCACAGTGTCATGTCCATCCAGAAGCTGATGACCTTTGCCATTTCCTACCTACAATGAACCCTGGGCTGAACATTTCCTTTCTCCTGGGAGCAGGATGAAAAGTAGAGAACCAACTCACCTGAACAATCCCTGTCTCCCAATCCCTCCCAAGACTGGAACACCTGTCAACATTCTTAGCCCTCAGCCTATTTCTTTTCCCTGACTAACTCCTAAATGTTCCCCGGGCATTGGGGTGGCTCCAGCCTGGGTAACTGGTGGGACAAGGCTGCCCACAGAACTAGGGCTTTAGCAGGGCAGGTTGGTGGTGAGTTCCGGGGCTCTGAGCACACAAGAGCCGAGGCACAGCGCAGCAGGAGCTCCAAGTAGCTCTGGAGTTGGTGGGGCAGGGGAGGTGGGAGGCAGAAATCATTTTCCTGTACAGTTGACAAGCATCACTTCCAAAGAGGTGCACAGTCAACCTTGGAGCAAGCTTCCTCAGAGACCCAAGATCACGAGGTCCTCACACCTCTAGGGGCTTATTTAACATCTATAGCTTAAATTTGTAACGCAATTCACATTGTGTGTCTTAAGAATACAGAGACTCGGGGTCAGTGTTCCACAATTGCTCTAGAATCACTTTGCCACTTTTCACTTCCCAACCAAGTCTGTAGGACAAGTAAAATTAATGGACAAGTTCAAGTGGGGACAGTAGATTTCAAACCCCATCCCACCCAAGCCTGGTGTTCCCTTTACCCTTTTCATGCCTTCTATCTGTAATAGGCTGGGAGAGAAGCTCAAGAAAGGGGAAACTGAGGCTCCTTTGTGCAAGGCCACCAAAGGAGCTCCTTGTTTTAAGTTCAACTCAGTCCATAGCTCTCCTGTGCCCCGCCGTGTGCTGTGTGAGGGAGCAGGCCTCCGAGTCAGCCTGAGGCTCTGGCTCCCTTTTTCCAGGGCATCTTCCAACCCCGTTCCTCACCCTTCAGGGTGTGACTGGGAGGCAACAGGCTTCCGGGGTGACAGAAGTACCCACAGGCCTGCACTGGGAGTCAATCTGGGACAATCAGGCTGTGCGTTGCCACGGGACGCCGGTGCCATGGTGCCCAAGCAAGGCAACCCTCAGGGGAGAGGGTTGGGCTCGTTCAGGGGCACATGAAGCGTCCCCCCTGCGGGTGTGGGCTCCAGGCAGGAAAATGAGGTGCCGGGGGACCCAGGGACCCGGGCCGGGAGCGCGTTACCTCCTCGGCGCTGCCGCAGCGCGCCAGGGTCCGCCTGCGGGTCCAAGAGCTTGCCCTGCGCGGCGCGCCGCTTCTCCGAGTGCACGATCAGCAGCATGTCGATGGACACAGCGTTGCTGTCCTTCTTCAGCTCCATGGTGCCGCCTCCCTCCGGCCCGCGCTCCGCGGCTGCTCGCGAGGCTGCCTGCGCTGCAAATGGCCCCGTGCGCGCCGCTGCCTGGCGCGGGAGAGGGCGAGGGCGAGGGCGCGGGAGAGGGCGCTCCCTCGCCGCCCGATCCGCTGGGCGCCGCGTTTCGCTGACTCTGCCAAACACGCCATTAGGACCCGCCCGGGAGGGCGCTATCCTAATCAAGCGGGTCTAAGTCACCTTTGAAAGGAAATCCCCGGGCTGAGCCCTGACCTGCACCGAGGGCGCGGAGCCGGCGGGTTACAGAGCCTTCATCCCCATGCTCCGAGCCTTGCGCCCCGGGCGCTTCAAAGCGCTGGTCCTGGGGTCCCTGAACTGTTCTCCTTCTGGCTGGGCGCTGCCTTATCCCAACCATTTCCAGGAGAAGGGTTTCTCCAAAAGGTCCAAAGCAGACCTTCTGAGAGAAGCCACTGGCCAATACAGAGATTTCACAGTGATGTCAACATTTAAGTGCGGCCAGAAATGGAAGGCAACAGGGGCTCCATGTTGGATTGCAAGGTGTGCAGAAATTGGCTAAGTTTCCATCTCGGCCTTTCTCTTACCCTGTGTGGGTTTTGGAGGTTGATGGCTCTTCCAGTAAAAAGGAGCTAGGTTTGGTGTTGAGGCCAGGACCTCTCCTCAGTTACGGGCTCTCCAGAACCTGGGTCATGCTCAATGTCATCAAGATAACAATTCTCTTTGTCCTGAAATGAGTCTTAAAAGGGCCATTCCTTTTGGAAGACCAGCTGCTGCCCAGAGGGGAAGGAAGGAGGAGGAGGTTGGGGCACAGAGAGCTATCTGCTGCTGTCAGGGAGCTGGACCTGAGAGCCCTTTCTATTTTTAGCCAGGCCTCGCCTGCCCAGCCCACAGCAGCAGGGCATTTGGCTGTAGGTCTAGGGAGTGTTTACATGGGCATCTGCTTGGTAGCCTTTGTCACTATGGTCCCACTGGGTGGGGGACAGTTCTCCAATATGAGCTTCCAAGGTTAATAAGTACTGCCCACATGGAGGCCTTTGCTTGGGGATCCCTCCCCACACTGGAGTGACCTGACCCCACTGATGAGAGCTTCCACCTTCTCCTTGGAACAACCTGTGTCACATAGGCTACCTTCCAGTACCAGCGCCACCACTTTCTGGCCATGTGACCTTGGACCAGCCATTTCCACTCCATTTTCTCACCATCTCATTGGGGTAATAAAAATTCTCACAGGGCTGTTGTGAGAATGACATGCATGTAAGGTACCTGGCACATGGTGAGTGGTCTCCAAATGTTAGCTGTCATTCTTACCTCATCTTAAGGGTAAGGACAGAGACAGGTGGAGAGACAAGTTAGTGACAGAGCTAGGAAGGCACATAGTTACATCCTCAGATTGTGAAGGTCTTCCGCCAATGCCTGAGGCTCACAGTTTGATGTGCGGAAAGGCTACTGTTGTACTATATCAACCCTGTCTCCTTACCCAATGGCCATCTGCCATTGGCTTCCAACAGTGTTGAACTGGCGACAGCTGAAGTCTGTGGATGGACAGGTAGAAGTGAGTGACTCCCAAGACAGGTTTTCTCCTCCAGTGTGAGTTCTGCTTCCTGATTACAAGTGTGTAAACACACACACACACACACACACACACACCACACACGACTAGGAGGCTGGGGAAGTAAGAACCATGAATTATGTGAGTCTCCTAAAAGCTGCAGCACCATTCAGGTCTTTTGGGTTTTCCCAGCTGCCCTGGGGCAGTGAGCCTAACTGCTTTAAGGACAGGTTGTCTGAGGTGCAGAACCCACCAACAGATCCCATACAACACCCTGTTGCTAGATAGGGCTCACTGGGCAGGACCTGAAGGCTCTTAGGATCTCACCCAGCATGGTGGCACCTCCCAGAGCTGCCTCTGTGGAGGATGATGACTTGAGAATGTGCCATCCAGAGGTTCAGGAAGATGGTGTGGGGACCTCCTCCCTCTCTGTTATATCTGGAACCAGAGCCTTTGAAACAGGGCTTGTTCCTCATCCTTGGCGGGATTACTGTTACTTTGAGTCAGATATATTTTTGTTGTAGAAGCTGTCCTGTGCATTGTAGGATATTTAGTGGCATCCCTGGGATCTAGCTACTAGATGCCAGTAGCACCTACTTCCCAATCATGACAACCTAGAATGTGGTCACAATGTCTCCAGATATTAACAAATGTTTCCAGAATTACATTGAGAATACTGCATTGGAGCAAACTCCTGAAGCAGGGGTCACTTTGGTTGCTCTGAAAGGTGATATTGTGGCGCTCCAAGTGCTGTGGGGCACCTGGACCTGTTCTCAGTGGCTCCCCCTCATGGCCATCAGTATAGTAGCCCAGCTCCTGGGGCCTGTGAAGTTGGTTCCTGCTTGAAGCCCAGGCAGAAAATGAGATGCTCTTTTCAGTCCTTACTCTATTACTCCCACCCTGGCCTTGTTTGACCCAGCTGCATCTCCCTTCCCATAGCCTGTTCTTGGTCAGGAAAGGAGAGCCCATGGGGAAGGTGAGGTGGCTGAAGGCATTGGGATACATCAGGAAAGGAGACAGGGGTGGGGGGGGGCAGGAGAGATTAAGGCTACTGACATAGCATTTATTTATTTGTTTGTTTGTTTTTTGAGACAAAGTCTATGTGTATGTGTATATATATATGTGAGAGATGCGATAGATGGGATGAAAGCTATGTCATGAGGCCAATGTGGTGGTTTACTCAGGAGGCTGAGGTAGTAGGATCAAGAGTTCCAAGTCAGCCTGCGGTACATACACACATATACCTGCAAATATGCATAGATATATTAATACTAACACAAACGTATATTTACACACTTATATAAAATTGTATATAATTGCACAAACATATCTATACCACATACACACATACTTGTATATATTACATATACATGCATATGCACATATATATATACACCATATAGCCTAGGTGTGTAGCAGTCTTCACTGTACCATTGATAGGTTATTCTATACCTATACTACCTCAGTTTGTGTACATACACTCTATGATGTTTGCACGATGATGAAATCACTTAATGATGCATTTCTCAGAACAGATCTCCCTTGTTAAGTAACCCATGACTGTCACTGTATTGTCACCTTTGTCTTCCAAATTTACCACCCAGATGTGCCCAGCTGTCATCCATGCTGCTTCAACCCCTATGCTGGAAGGTGGGATTTATCAGTTGTCTGGATGGTTCTGGCCTCTGAGCTGGCTCTGCTGTCTCGTGATGAGACGTGATCATCAGGGGCCCTCACTTAAGAGGGGTACATCCTTGTGTCCTGATTCCCACTGTTGTTTTTCCTCAACAGTAGTTCTTCAGGAGCTGCCATCATAACCTTTTACTTCCATTGGGTTCCTGAGAGGGCAAGTTTCTCTCCTTTCCACAGACACATGGCAGGTTAGCCAATGCAGAACAGACTTTAGCAGAGGACATACAGACATGCCTCACTTTTCTCCGTGGGTGCAGTGGTATCAGTAGTAGACTGATGGTGGCAGTGGCAGCTGTCACGAGTTGGTGGCCACAAACTTTCAGCAGAGTGGTGTACCTTGGTGAAAAGCTGCATACCAAGTCCCCATTTCCTGATTCCTTCAGCTGCCCTTGGGGTGGGTGGCTCATTACATGGGAGAACTCATTTGTGGAAACTTTTTCCATGGCCCATCCAGGCTTTTCATGGTCTCCTGATCAGCCTGGCTTAGTTGCCTCTATTTCCAGCCCTTTGTTATTACTTCTTCCTGGAAAACCTCTTTGAACCTTCCTGGCAAGTACAGTCTATCCATCTTTTGAGACCTGGCACTAGCCCTCACCTTTACCTTGACTCCTTCCTGGCTACCTCAGGCCTTGGAACTCCTGGGGAATACCAAATCTCTGTGGTGCCTCTTTTTTCTTTTTTAACCACCCACCAACTTTGGAAAGTATGGTACTCTCATCTGAAGCTGTGACATTAGGCACACATTTCCAGACACTCTCTCCTAGCAGGATGACATTGGACTTTCAATTTCACTCATCTGTCAAATGAATGAGGGTCTTGCTGGGATGCAATGGAATAAAATATTTGGCTATGGCTTAGTTATATCTATGGCAGCCCTGTCTGGGTCCTGCTCTGGGAAGTGTCTTATGGGCATGGTTCTACAGCTGAGGAGGGGGAGATAGAAGAGAATGCTCCTCCAGTGGAACAGGAATTTGCTTTTTTCCTGTGTCGCTGTCCATGTCACTGTTTTGCAATCACAAGGAAACCCAGTGAGCCCCAGGAATCCTTGATGAATGGGCATCAGCTCTGTGTAGCTGCAGCCTTTCTTCCAGAGGATGTGGCTCAGCAAAGCTCAGCTTCCTCCACCCCTACTACACTTGTGACCATTGGGCACTCACAGGGATGTGTCTTTGCTCCATCTCCATTTTATACATAAGAAAATCGATGCTAAGGTCACCTACACAAGAACTACAGGTGTCTTGCAGGTAGCAGGGAATATCCCAACCTTTGACACTCTACCCCACTCTGTAAGCTCCAAAGCTCATTTGTGCTTCTTAGTCCCAGGACAAGGGGAAGAACAGCCATCAAATGGTGAGCGCACCTTGATCCAGTACTCCAAGCCCTCTGTTGATGCTCTTGGAAAAATCTTTGAGCTAAAGTTCCGAGCTGGGCCTTTGGGGACAGATTTCCCAGGCTCTGTGGCATCAGTAAAACAAGTAATGGGAGTGAGCATAGTCACAAATGGGTAGCTATGAACATTCAGCAGTGTGAGGAGCAATGAGAGCTTTGCCAGTGAGGGAGAGGAGGCAGAGGACTGCCATTTCCACCAACATTACAAGGCATTTTAAAAAGTGCCGAACTATTCTGAGATAAGGATGATTAAACCACTAAGAGGGCTTTCTGCTTCTGCCAGTTTTGCCATAAAGATGCTGCCTAGTCAGGCAAGCCTGTTCTTAAGCCTCTACTGTGTGCAATGTCACAGGATGAAATGAGAATAATCACAAGGCAAGGAGCCCCTGTTGTCCTAGAGAGAAGGACTCCAGAAAGGTTCTAGGTGGAAGTGACACATAAGCAGTGTCCTTAGGCACTGAGAAGAGAGAGGCACAAAAGAAGGGCATGGCCTTTTCAGGCAGAGGAGGATCCTGTGTAGAGGTGGGAGGCTCCAGGGGCAGGAGAGACAGCATGTTTCAGGAAGCGAAAGCCAAGCAGTTAGGTTGGTACTGCGGTGCAGAGAGACAGGATGAGAGCGGGGCTGGAGAGCAGCCAGGGGCAGTTGGACTGCTGTGGGCAGTGCTTCTGCTGCT